CAGATCCCCCGGTCCAGCCCCAGCTCAAGCCAGGTCAGGTCAGGTCAGGTCCAGCCTCCAAGCGGTCAACCGTCTTTTAGTCTGTCTTTGTCCGTCACTTTCTGAACCTCTAGTCTTCCCATTCTTTTTCTCTTCTTCTCTTTTTTTTTCTTTCTCTCACTCTCATCTTCACCTCTACCTTCACCTTCACTACTTGACGCAGCATCACCAACCCTCACTTTCATCCAAACCAAACCAAACCAACCCCCGGTCGTAGGGTGACATTGTCCAACTTGAGGCTCGTCTGGATCTTCTGCCCGTCTCCCCCCTCTCGGCCTCTTTCTCTTGTCCCCCTGTTCCTTGGGACTGCCGCTAAGCCAAACTCTACACGTTCCCCGGCACACACCACACTCAGCACCACCGCCAGCACCACCACCCACCTCTTTCGACAGAAGAGCAGCAGCTGAGAACAGAACAGAGAAGACAGAAAGGAATAGGTAGACAGTTGGAAGAAAAAGAGAAGAGACAGAAGACGAGTCATGGAGCCAAACTCCCCCGCGCCAGACCCGACAGGCGTCAATCCTGTGCCCGTCAACCCCGCCAACCCCGTGCTGCGAAGCATCGCCCTGTCGGACGCCGTGACGCCGGGCATCCACCAGCACACGTACAACTCTGCCGACAGCTCGCGCGCCCAATCGCCCAGCGGCAGCAGTTACTTTCCTCCCTCCAACTACACCACCCACGACGACGACTCTCACCACCAACAACCTCCCACAAGCAACAGCAACAACATCACGAGCAATCCGACATCGTCACCCGCAAACGCAGCTACGAACACTACTACCACAAACAACTCCAAGGTCCCTCCGTCGCCAGGACCCGGCGACATCCTCAAGCGCATGACCCTCGCCGCCATGGGCCGTCGCGAGTCCCTCTCCCAGATTCGCAGCGCCAACCCAGACCTGCAGCTGAGCGGCAACATCATCTCGGCCACTTTCAACATTCCCCATTCCCTCAAGTACCGCAAAGGTTCCGACTGGGTGAGTTTCTTCGTCTCTGTCATCTCTACTCTACCACTGCTGTTCAATCGCTTGCTCTATAGCTTCTGCCTCAATCCCCTCACCCTCAATTCCCGCGCGATGCTTCACCCCGGCCTGGACAACCCCGCTGACATCATTGCCATCACAGGAATTAAAGGCGCGCCGCGGCCAATCCGCCCTCTTCGACTCCTTTGCCTACCTCTCTTCCGACGAGACCCCCTGGAACCACACCGTCGTCGCCTGGACGGGTGAGATCGATACCCCTCAAGACGTCCTCTCGCCGCCCGGCACCCCGCCCGCTACGACTGTACACTTCTCCTCCCTCAACACCCTCTCCGCGCCCGTCCCCATCGATGGCGATGCCCGCCTGCCCACGCCGCCCCCCAGCGAGGGTCTCTGGCTTCCCAAGGAGGACCAAGCCCGCCTCGAGACCCAGCTCGCCCACAGCAAGACCATCAAGACGGTGCCCGTCTGGCTCTGCGACGACGACGAGCAGCAAGAAGCGGGCGTCCTTCTCAAGGACCAGAGCCGCTGGCGCCGCTACGCCGAACATGATCTCTACACCCTCTTCCACTACAAGCAGCATGAACCCACCGACGGTCGCAAGGAGCGCCTGCAATGGGCCGACTACTACCGCATGAACCAAAAGTTTGCCAACCGCATCATCGACCTCTACAAGCCCGGCGACATTGTCATTGTCCACGACTACTACCTCATGCTGCTGCCCAGCATGCTCCGCCAGCGCGTCCCAAACATGAACATCTCCTTCTTCCTCCACTCGCCCTTCCCCTCCTCCGAGTTCCTGCGCTGCCTGCCCCGTCGCAAGGAGGTCCTTGAGGGCGTCCTCGGCTCCAACCTCGTCGGTTTCCAGTCTTACAGCTACTCGCGCCACTTCTCCAGCTGCTGTACCCGCGTCCTTGGCTTCCCATCGGATAGCGGTGGTGTCGACGCCTACGGTGCGCGCGTTCAGGTCGGCGTCTTCCCCATTGGTATCAACGCCGACAAGTGCGAAATGTACGCCTGGACCGACGCCGTCACTGAAAAGTATGACGCCCTGAAGAAGCTGTACGAAGGCAAGAAGATTATCGTCGGCCGCGACCGCCTCGATTCCGTTCGCGGTGTCGCCCAGAAGCTCCAGGCCTTTGAGCGCTTCCTCGAAATGTACCCCGACTGGCGCGAAAAGGTTGTCCTCATCCAGGTTACCTCCCCCACCAGCATCGAGGAGGAAAAGGACGACGATGGTTCAGAGAGCCGCATCGCGACCCGTGTCAACGAGCTCGTCATGCGCATCAACGGCATGTACGGCAGCTTGGGTTTCTCCCCCGTCCAGCACTACCCCCAATACCTCAGCCAGGACGAGTACTTTGCTCTCCTCCGCGCCGCCGACATTGGCCTCATCACCTCGGTTCGCGACGGCATGAACACCACAAGCATGGAGTATGTCATCTGCCAGCGCGAAGGCCATGGCCCTCTCATCCTCTCAGAGTTCAGCGGTACCGCTGGTAGCCTTAAGGACGCCATCCACATTAACCCCTGGGACCTTAGCGGTGTCGCCGTCGAGATCAACAACGCCCTCACAATGACCCCCGAGAAGCGCATGAACATGCAAGCCAACCTCTACAACCATGTCACCACCCGAAACGTCCAGAGCTGGATCGATAACTTCATCCGCAAGCACGTCCACGTTCTCGGCACCCAGAAGAACGTTGCCGCCACCCCTCTCCTCGATCGCGCCACCCTCCTCAAGACCTACCGCGATGCCGGCAAGCGCCTCTTCATGTTTGACTACGACGGCACCCTTACCCCCATCGTCCGCGAGCCCAGCGCCGCCGTCCCCTCGGAGCGCGTCCTGCAGACCCTCAAGGCCCTCGCCAGCGATGAGCAGAACGCTGTTTGGATCATCTCGGGCCGCGATCAAGAGTTCCTCACTCAGCATCTTGGCCACATTGCCGGTCTTGGGTTCAGCGCTGAGCACGGCAGCTTCATGAAGAACCCAGGCTCTGACGAGTGGGTCAACCTCGCCGACGAGTTCGATATGGGCTGGCAAGCCGAGGTCATGGCCTGCTTCCAGTCCTTCACCGACAGAGTGCCCGGTATGTTCAGATTGCCTTTATTGACAAGTAAACGACGAAAACATCCGCTAACATGACCTAGGTTCCTTTGTCGAGCGCAAGCGCTGCGCCCTCACGTGGCACTACCGTCTTGCCGACCCCGAGCAGGGCATTCACATGGCCCGCGAGTGCCAAAAGGAGCTCGAGTCAACAGTGGCGCAAAAGTGGGATGTCGAAGTCATGGCAGGCAAGGCCAACCTCGAGGTCAGGCCGACGTTTATCAACAAGGGCGAGATCGCAAAGCGCCTCGTACACACCTACAACTCGGCGCCCGCGTCCGAGAAACACCCCGGCCCCGTCGAGTTCGTTCTCTGCCTGGGCGACGACTTCACCGATGAGGACATGTTCCGCGCCCTCAACGGCCTGTCGGGCACCGAGGTCCAGCACGAGCACATCTTCACCGTTACTGTCGGTGCCAGCACAAAGGTCACTTTGGCAAGATGGCATTTGCTGGAGCCCGAGGACGTGGTCGAGTGCGTCGCGCTGCTGGCCGGAGTCGGTCTTGGCGGCGAGGCTCACGAGCACTTTGGTCAGGTCAACTTGGCTGCTCTGAGCACGGTTGAGGGACACATTCCCGAGTCGGAGAAGTGACTAAAGAACGAGCCAAGTAAGCTATGATGAGGAAGAAGAGCATACAGCTTGGGGGGGGGGGGGAGTCATACAGCCGGGAGTATGGATAGAAAGCGGCATTCTTTGATTTTATTGTCATTACCTCAGCCGCCGGTATTTGTTTTTTTTTTTTTTTCACCTGTTTTGATATTCACAGACACACACACACTCGCCGATGAACAGAGCGACAAGTCATCGAGCAACATGGGGGGGTGGTGGTTGATACGAGGCATGATGCATGGGCTCAGCATGGGAGCGGGACAGCCCAAAGAGACGGGCTAGATGCATATAGACTATATTCTTATCCTACACATTGGACCTGCTCGTTTGTGTTTTTGATGTCTCTGGTGATCTTCCTGATGTTTCCTTCTCTCACATGTCTTTTAACAGCTCTAAGATGGTGTGTGTAACGGCCCCAGAAAAACAACGTCACATTGCATTGACAGCGGCTGTGCTCGAGATCGTCGGATCTACAGCCCGGTCCCTGGCATACGCTCGGGCGGCACGGCCGAAACTCAATTGAAGCTTGTTTGTGCTCTTGGGATGAATCACTCGTTCTCGATTGGAAATGTTTGGATGAAACTAGTGTCCTGATCGTGTATGCAATGAGACTTACGCCTTACACGTTGACGGCATCACGAACTCGTTCCCTTTCATGGCATTCAGCCATTTGAGGTGGAATATTGGCAACTCCTCCAACAAGAGCACCTTTGCGCAGGTTCAAGATCCTGGTCATGTGGATTCCTTGGCGAGTGCTACGGTTCTCGGGGTTGAGGATGCTATTCTTGTTACTCATTAGTTGGGCAATCATCATCTCTTCTTTCAACATGAGCATATTGCAACTTGCTGTGTAACGTGACGACTTGCCGCGAATAGGTAGATGTAATCATAGATGCCTGAAAGACTCGATCTCGCTCAAAATGTCCATCATCTCACCAACCATACCCGGTGCTGCCTTGGCACATCCCTGCTATGGCGATATCGGACCCAGCGACGCTTTCGACCTCCCTCTTTGAGCCTCCTGATCCGACGTTGGATTATCGAAAAGAGAACGAGCACATTACGGAAGCCTTGCTCACACGAGATGCGGGGCGATTGATACGCATTGCTGGAGGCTGCGAAATGTGCTCAGAGAAGGGTACGATGAGTTATCGCGATGGTTTAAAGGCCGGGATGCCCGTTGTCCCTATAATCGACACGATGCGATCATCAGTCACAAATCCGTGACGGCGAATGTGAAAGACAATCACCCAGAGCCAAGATGCGCTACCTCTGGATCTTTTCCGCCCTCGTCTTGGTTGGCAACGCCACCACTCAAGATACCACCGACGAGGACTCACCTGACATCGAAGCAAACCGCTTCATCATTGAATTCGCCAGCGTAAGTCCTCCCGTCGTCCATAAATAGCTATTCAAAAGTAACGAACAACAGGGCACCCGCACCAAAACCAAGCGCGACGAACTCTCCTCCTCCACAGGAATCCGCGTCCTCAAAACCTACGACTCACCAGTCTTCTCCGGCGCGAGTCTAGAGACAAACAACCACACCCTCGAATCCCTCCTCGTCCTCCCAGACGTCGTAGCCGTCTGGCCAAACCCGCAAGCAACCCTCATCGCCCCCGTTAAGCGCCAAGTCGCCGTCGACCCCAGCGCGGCAGCATCGCATGCAGTCCACTGGGCCACTGGCGTCGATAAACTCCACGAACAAGGCGTCCGCGGCCAGGGCGTGAAAGTTGGTATCGTCGATACGGGGGTATGGTACAGACACACCGCCCTCGGCGCCGGCTTCGGTCCCGGGTTCAAGGTTGCTGGCGGCTGGGACCTCGTCGGTGACGGATGGGCCGTCGGTACCGAGAAGAAGCCTGACGCGGATCCGGCTGATGAGCAAGGGCACGGAACGCATGTTGCGGGGGTCCTTGCTGGGGAGGACGTTTCTTCTGGGTGGGTTGGTGTTGCGCCGGACGCGAGTTTGTATTCATACAAGGTCTTTGGGCCGGGCGATGGGACGGACCAGGCGACTATTATCGACGCTTTCCTCCGTGCGTACGATGATGGAATGGATGTCATTACCGCTAGCATCGGCGGCCGAGGAGGGTTCGCAAACAATGCCTGGGCCGTTGTCGCGAGCCGGATCGCTGCTGAGGGCGTGGTCGTCACCATTGGCGCCGGGAACTCGGGGAACGGAGGGGCGTATTACGCCAGCACGGGCAGCTCGGGGGAAAATGTGCTGAGCGTCGCGAGCGCGGAGGTGAAGCGCGATGAGGCGACGGGGGAAAAGGTCCTGCGGCCGTCGTATTTCACGAGTTGGGGCGGGTTGTATGATTTGTCTGTCAAGCCAGATGTTGCTGCGCCTGGGACGGATGTGTTTAGTACCTGGCCTGGCGGGGATCATAAAGAGTTTGTGTTGCTGTCCGGGACGAGTATGGCTACGCCGTATATTGCTGGTGTAGCGGCGTTATATATCTCCAAGCATGGCGGGAGGAGTGTTCACGGTAAAAGGTTTGCAAGGGAGCTGAGTATGAGGATCGTCTCGACGGGGGCATCGTTGCCGTGGTTGTTGTATAGTGGTGAGGCGGATGAGGCGTATCGGGCACCTTCGCAGCAGGTTGGCGGTGGGCTTGTTGATGCGGCCAAGGTTGTTGGGTATCGAATAAGCTTGGAGCTTGCGAGGTTTGGACTGAATGATACTGCCAACTTCCGCGCGGATCAAGGGGTCCTGGTCAGGAACGGGGGGAATGAGACGGTGAGATACAGCTTCGAGGTGGAGAGTTGGGCTGGGGTTGAGATGCTCAAGGCGTTTGATGGTCGGGATCCGGGAGAGACTCCGAGGATTAGGTACAGGCCAGAGATTGTGCCTAGTAATATCTCAGCGAGCGCGAAGGTGCCGGAGGAGTTTATCTTGGGTCCTGGAGAGGAGAGGCGAGCAGAGTGAGTTAACTTCTTCTGACATCGGATCTGGAGTATCATGCTAACTTTGCTAGATTCATCTTTGAGGTGCCCAAGGGCGTCAACCAGACAGCACTCCCAGCATACGGTGGTCGCCTCTTGGTCAAGGGCAGCAACGGGGAGTCTGTCGGCGTTCCATACCAAGGTCTGACTTTCGACTTGCAGAAGCAGATGGAGAGTCCCTTTCATGGGACCTACCCATGGTTGAGGTCGACGAGCGCGTATAGCAACAAGACGACGTGAGTTTGATGTGGTCGTTGACACCTGTTGATACGTGAAGCTGACTTGAATTATAGTTTCAGCTTTGAACTTGCCAGTGGTATCCAAGACTTTCCCATGATGTTTATGAAGGTCAAATGGGGCACAAGAGAGGTGCGGTGGGATGTAAGTCAACTCTAACACCCGACTCCATTGCAATAAAGTTTCATACTAACCTACAGTACCAGATCTATGAGTCCGACTTCGACGACGCCACAGACTGGGAATACCCTCCCGTATCCGGACGACAAGGCTACATTGGCTCAGCCACGTCCTGGGCGTCTGCTGGTAAGACGTCGAGCTTCAACCCCGCTCGTCATAACGCCAGCGATACTTTCTCGTTTCCAGAGACTGATGTCGCGAGAAATGCGCTGACGACGGGCGGATTCACGACGGCGTACTATTGGTTTGGCAAGTTGGGCGACGGAAGTGTCATGACACCAGGCAACTACACGTGAGTCATCGCTCCACCATTGCTGGGAGTTGATGGGACTTGGATCGAACGACGCTGACCTGTGTCTAGAATGAGATTTGCGGTTCTTCTCCCCTTTGCTGATCCTCAGCTTAGCGAGAGCTGGAAGGGGTTGACGACCCAGTTCACGGTTTTGCTAAAGGCTGGGAACAGCACAGTCAGCAGGAGGGGTTACTGATGAAAAGCTAGACGTTTTTTGGAAGGATACTGTGACTGATTAGATGTGTCGATGTCCCCATAGGTACATCGGTGGTTTGGGCAAGTCCTTGTAGTAAATGCCTCGTCTCTAGGCCAGTCGTGCCATGTCAACAGGTATCGCAGGCTCATTCCCATATCCCCCAGTATGTAAACTGTCCATCCGCGCGCTCTGAAACCGCCCAAGAGCAAATTTGAGGAATTCCTCTCCAACACGCCCAGTGATTCCTCATCACTGAAGTCGTTGAACACCATCATCCACCAGCTTGATCATGCAATCGCTGCCGAAATCGGGTTGCTCCTGGCAAAGAGTCTTAAACTCAGGCATCTGGAGATGTAGCCTCCGAGCCCATGGCTTACCAAGGGTGATCTCCAGGAATATCGCCTTGAGGATGTGTGTGCTGTCCGCGTCTTGGTAGTCTGTGTAGAGAAGCCGGCCAGCATTGATCCAATCCTGGGGGCTTGGTTGGTGCAACCCCATGGATACGGCTGCTCGTTGTGTACGGGAGTATGTATAGGCTTTGAGCTCCGACTCAACTTCGGAGCAGAGGATCCGTACTAAAAAGTAATCGCCTAATGTCCAAAGCTGGATGGCGGTGCGTAGGAAGGTGTCGTTTTGACAGACGCTGTAAAAGTCGAATACTGTTCGAAGGTTCGGTCAGCCAATATCCTCTGAGGTGCTCCCATGGTGAAGCTCGAGATATGAAAGAAGTGCATTGTATTGCATTGAGTGAAGTTCATTGAAAGTAAGAGGTCGTTCCCACCCACCATTATCAAAGACATGCAAGGAGAAACAAAGAACGGGAGGAGCACAGTGAACAAGGTCTGCTTACCACCAATGTAGATGTAGTTGATCAGGTACTCCATTTGCTTCTCAGTGAAGCAGGTGATCTCGACAATGCCAGTCTTGGCCTCCTATCAACAAGTTGGATCTTTCACTCACAATTTCCTTTGTCCTCATTCATGCAAACTTACCGGTCAGTCACCCGTCAAGCATCTCATGAAGTATTCAGAGCGGCCACACAAGATCGACTTATGCAGGTTCCATGTCTTGCCTTCGCACTTGACTTGACATTCTGATAACTTGCCAGTCTTCAACAGCCTATGTACCCCAGTTCGTCAGCGTCGATCCCTTTAGATGGTGATTGCGGTCTGATGTATTTCTGATCGAAGTTTTGGCGTCTTTGCTAAGGCTGAACATGAGGTCAACCCAGATTTTTTGGATCGCTCTTGCTTCAGATTACTTACTCGTGATCGTCGAAGACAATTTTGAAAGAAAATCTGGAGAAGTTTTTATAGTTGAGGCGAAGACGATATCTCTGAATCACAGCCTTTGGGGCCAGGACTGGCCCGGCTTCATCGCTCTCACTTCCTTCCTCATGGTAGGTTCTGTTTTATGCCTTCATTTTCTGGCAACTTGAAAAAGTGAACATAATGGTATAGAAGTAGTTCATCCAAGACGTATTCAAGGCATGGTAATAGTATACGAAAAATCCAAACCTGGCTTCCGCTCATGTCCGATTTACTCTTCTCGGGTAATATTCTGGGCACATGATACTTGATAATAAGGGGGAGAACTTTGTTGTAGAAGAGAATGAATTGCAGCAAGAGGTATCTAGTCTATATCTATAGCACAGCGAGTCCAATCAAAACGTCAAGGACAGTCGACTTCTAAAAAAAGTATGTACAAAGAAAAAAAAACAGCTCAAAGTCGTTCTGCCTTAGATGGTGATGTCCGCTGAGGCGCGGATGTCGCGCGAGCTGGAGCCGACAGAGAAGGTGTACTTGCCCTTGGCGATAGCCCACTGCTGAGCAACTGTGTCCCAGTAGCTCACATCGCGTCTGCGAACGCTGAAGGTCACGTCGCCGGCGGCGCCGGGGGCGAGGTTGATCTTCTCGAAACCGCGGAGGACGCGAGGGGGTTGGGCAGCCTCGGATGGGAAGCTGATGTACAGCTGAGCGACCTCGGCGCCCTGGACGCCGCCATCGTTCTTGATGTTGGTCTTGACGCTGATAACCTCCTCGAAGAGGTCCTCCTCGCCACCGGGGACGAGGGTGCCGGTCGGGTAGGTGGAGTCGGCGGCGGTCTGGTTGGTGACCTTTGCGTTGACCTTGCCGTAGGTGAAGGCGGTGTAGCTGAGGCCGTGGCCGAAGGGGTAGCGGACGGTCATGTTCTTGGAGTCGAAGTAGCGGTAGTCGATGAAGACGCCCTCTGTGAAGTCGCAGTCCTCGGTGTAGCAAAGGGAGACGGGGTAGTCGTCGGCGTCCTTGGCGATGGTGTGGGATAGCTTGGCGCTGGGGTTGACGTTGCCGTAGAGGACATCGGCGATGGCGTTACCGCTCTCCTGGCCGAGGAGACCAGAGTAGATGACGGCGGTGATGTTCTCATTGTCAATCCAGGCGTCGAGGATGCGGGGCCCGGCGGTGTTGACGACGACGACGGTGTTGTTGCAGTTGGAGGCGACGGAGGTGACCATGGCATCCTGCTCGTCGTCGTACAGGAGGCTGCGGTCGCCACCCTCGCCGGAGTAGGAGTTGATGAAAGCAATGCAGACCTCGGAGTTCTCGGCGTAGTTGGTGAATGAGGGGGTCATGGCGGTTCCCTGGCCAAGGTTGCCGAGGCCACCGCCGCCGCCGCCGGTCATACCTCCGCCAGTGCTGTTACCGCCGGTGCTGCCGCCCATGCCGCCACCAGTGCTGTTGCTGGAAGAGCCGCCGGGAGGGCTGCCGCCGCCACCACCGCCAGACATGCCGCCGGAAGAGGTGGAGGTGTAGGTGTTGTTCAGGAGCCACCAGATCATGCTGTTGTCGTCAATAGCGCGCTGGGTGATGGCCTGGAAAGGGGTGACCAGGTAGGGGAGCGAGAGCTGACCGGAGCCGGTGCCGGAGGCAAGGTGGCCCTGGTAGACGTCGCTGTCGGTACCCTGAACGCTGAAGGGCTGGTTGGGGCCGGCGAGCGCAGGGCCGGCGTGGGCTCCGAAGAGGGAGATGGTGCGGGGCTTCTGGAGAGGGAGACCAAGGCCGGAAGTGTTGGAGTTCTTGAGGAGGACAATGGACTCGCCGGCGACCTGGCGGATAAGCTTGGAGTGGTTGCCGCGGACGTCACGGTACTCGGTGGTGGAGGCCTTAGAGGGCTGCTTGCCGTCGTCGAGACCGACGTAGTAGTATCCAATGACGTTGCGGACGACCATATCGTCGAGGCGGGCCTGGGTGAAGCTGCCGTTGTTGATGCCGGCAGTGAGGATGTCCTCAGTCCAGTAGTTGCTAGAGCCGTAGTCGAGACCGGCATTGGCGGAGCCGTAGGAGGTAGACTGAGAGTTGACATCGGGGAAGACGAGGCCGAGGAAACCGAATTCCTTCTTGAGGAGCTTGCTGACAAGGGCGTTGTTCTCGCAAGAGAGGGTGTCGTTGACACGGGTCATGCCGCACATGACGGCCATCATACCGGCTTGGACACCGTCGGCAAAGGGCCAGGAGTAGAGCTCGTGGATGGTCTTGTCGTCGGCGTTGGAGGAGTAGACGTTGGTGGTGGTGGCGGAGATACCGGAGGATCGGTTGGTCTCCTGCTCGTTGAGAAGGAAGTGGCGGCCACCGGCAATGACACCGGCCGAGTTCATGCCGGAGATGGCCTTACCCATGGCGATACCGGTGAGGTAGGGGTCGGAACCGAAAGTCTCGGGGGTTCTTCCGCCGTAAGGGGTGCGGCCGAGCGGGCCGGCCTCGGGTCCGTTGATGAGGTTGTAGCCCATGCCGTAGAACTCGTCACCGATGGCCTTGAACTGCTCCTCGATGAGCTGACGGTTCCAGCTCATGGTCAGGGCGTTGGCCATGCTGAAGCCAGAGACGTAGAACTGGTAGTTGATGCCGGAAACACCATCCTTGTTGTTCAGGGCAGTCCAGGTGGTGTTGCCAGTGACACTCTGTCCGGTGATGATGGAAACCTTGGCGGCGGTATCGAGAGTCGCGACAAAGGCCTTGGCCTTCTGGTAGGCATCGTCGAAACGGCCGAGGGAGACTGTTGATGATAGGTTAGGTATAAGTGGAAAACTTCACTTGTAAGAGATGTGTACATACCGTATCCGTCAGCGAGGATGGCGTTGGTGAGGGTGGAGGAAGAGTTGGAAGCAGCAATAGTAGAAGAAGCGAAAGAAAGAGCGGCGAGCGCGCCCGCAGAAGTAGAAACCTTCATGCTGGGCAAAAAAAGAAAGCGAATGTCTAATAGTGGATGAAGCAAAAGAATGAAACTGGTTGATGGGTGTTCATCTCAAGTCTACATCTTGGCGAAACGTCCGAACTTATATCAAAAGTTGTTTCCATGTTTTCCCATGTTTCCTCCTGTTTGCTCCTGTTTCCTATGGATTGCAGTTTCATGCTCCGCCGTCATCGTTGCGTGGCCGATGGGGCGATAGCGCCGACGTCCCGAGTTTACCTCCGTAGCTCGTGGTGATGATGATCCACGGTGAGCCCCATCCATCGGCGAAGTTCCACGACCCGGCATGTGGGGGATGCTCCCGGACACCGGGCTCAGATCTCCGCCTTATTCTTCAATGTCTTGTTCATAGACAAGAAAAAGTCACCTGGATATTGTCAAGACTATATTCGTTTGAATTGCCAAAGCTCACTGTATTTTCTGTGTATTTTCTCACGATTGAAAGACTATTCTACGTTGAGCTATTTGCTATCAACTCTCTGGTGTTGAAGTTTGTAAGCGGCGGCGGGAGGCGATATCGCGCGTCGCCAGGATACTCACAATAAATTAAGGCTGCGAAGCGGGCCACATCTGAGCCACATCTCTAATGGCGTTTAAGTGTCTTTATCATGGAGACTCCGATTTCCCAGGGTCAAATGTATGCGAGAATTCTTTTCCAGGGCGGCGGAAAACCCGGGCCCCATACCGGGAAATCCGAAATCTACGTCGGCGACGCGTGGCTGTCTCCGTAGAGGGACCTCGAATAATGCTATTCCCTGCCCAACGCACTAGAAACTCTGCAATCGGAGCCCATGGACTTGGGAAAGGGAACTAAAAGAAGCGGCCTCGCCCTTGGGAGCTACCAGGCTAGATGCGCAATGATCTAAAAGGGGTATTATTCTGCTCGCAGATCCCGGAGGCGATCTTGACATCTGCGAGCTAAACCACGTGGATGGTAGCATTGGACTATCCCAATCATAATTCACAAGTGCGCCATTTTGCTTGGCGATGTTATCAGATGGACCATGTTAGCCGAAGTGTTGGACTTTGGAGTCCCAAATCTCAGGTCTTGATGGAAGCTGATCCGTCAGCTAAGCCAGAGGCGTTGAGACACCTTACGGTATGGCCACTATAGCCGGATCTCAGGATCAGTGAGTGTGGTTACGCGGCAAAGCTTTGGATGCGTCCGAGGGGCTGATGATAGGGTGACAGTGAGTCGATGGCGAGACAAAGGGATAAGAGAGCGGGCGAGGCCGACATCAACAATCAAAACTTTACATGGGACCCCCCACTCAACTTTGACAGGACTCGCCGCCATGCCGCTTATTCACTGCCAAAGTTCCTTTTATCGGCTTGGAGACTCCCGCCGGCACCACCGCTCCGGAGCCCCTGACGCTGATGATAACTGTTGACTATTATGCGGACTGTCACACATTGAAAGTTCTTGAGCCACTACACCGCCATGGACCGGAAGAACGGCGACTAAGCCCGAGCAAGCATCTGAGGATCCGGGTCTAGAAATAGAAGGGGGCGGCCTCGCTGGCGATGAACTAATAACAACGGCTCTAAGAACGGGTGAGCCGCATCGGCCGGACATAATCTAGCCCCCCCGGCCCGCTTCATGGGCGATAACCGAAGCTTGGCGATTTTGGGATTGCTTCAAGGAGCCCGAATTCTCCGAGCGCCGACGCACACGTCACCTGAACTGCGTTGGCTCTCGCCTAGTTGCACATTTTGCACTTAAACTACCTTACTAAAAGTGTTGGCACTGACTAGAGCAAATTCCTCGTGGATGCATTTCACTTCTGTTGCCAGAATATCCGTAGGTAAACTCTGGGAATGATAATTCATACTTTCACAGCTCTTTGACACGGCACGTGTTTGAGTTAAGCTGGCTGTTCTTCCTACTCTTCCGCAGTAATAACTGGTGAGCATGTTCGGTGTAACTCCAGACCTTGGCCCCGTACTCGGTAAGCCTCGGTGAGAGATCACGCACCTTGCTGGGCTCGGTATGCTCGGTGTGATGGTGTGGAGCCAATCGGGCGGGCTCTCAAGGTGCCTTAGGCGCCGGCGATTGCATCATCCCGGCCGAGGCGCTCGACAATGCCGAGCCCGGTGCTTGCGACTTTTACGCCTCGTTGTGCATCATCGCCGTGTTTGACACCCAACCACGTACAATTCTCTAGCTGTTTCCCTCCCGCATCATCCGGAGATCACGATTGGTCTCATGTTTGCTGTCTGAACTCTTCAATTGTGGTGAGTTGTGCCAATCTCCATCTGCCCCCCGTGATCGGATCGTTTATCGATAGCTCGGCACAGCTCCCTTCACCCCGCCATCCGCTGACACATCTCTTACCGCAGACCCCACGAGGAAGATGATCGAGTTGCGGCGTAGGGCACGATTACGATGATCATCCGAGCCGTCACCAAGGCTCCTTTGGCCTGCCCTCGAGGCATCTCACATACCCAGTTTCACCGACCGGCATGGCTCCCTCAAAGCCCCCGGGCCCCCATCCGTATCTTCCAAACGAGCGCACCGTCGAGACGCGAACAACCGAAGCCGCCGACGACTACAAAGGTCGATAATGGCGCCGACAAGACTACGGCACAGCCGTCCAAGGCAGAACCTGCCAAGGCGAAGAAGATTGCGGCCGTCGATCCCCTCGCAACGCCCGAAAAGTCTACACAGGAGCAGCGCAAAGCTGACTGGGCCATCATGAAGGAGATGTCGCGATACTTGTGGCCTAAGGATAGCTTGAGCACAAAGTTTCGTGTCGGCCTGGCTGTATCCTTGTTGATTGGCGCAAAGGTCTTGAACGTGCAGGTTCCCTTCTACTTCAAAAGCATCGTGGACTCGATGAACATCGACTTTGGCGCAACTGGCGGCACAGCGGTGACGATCGCGGGGAGTATGATCTTGGCATATGGTGCGACGAGGATAGGCGCCACGATCTTCCAGGAGCTCCGAAACGCCGTCTTTGCCTCCGTTGCCCAGAAGGCCATCCGCCGAGTCGCTTGCAACGTCTTTGATCATCTGCTGCGGCTGGACCTCAGCTTCCATCTGTCCAAGCAGACCGGTGGACTTACGAGGGCGATCGATCGCGGTACAAAGGGCATTAGCTTCTTGCTGACGAGCATGGTCTTCCACATTCTCCCGACTGCACTGGAAATCTCAATGGTCTGCGGTATCTTGACGTACCAGTATGGAGCCAAGTTCGCCGCTATTACGGTGCTTACCATGGTTGGGTACACGGCCTTCACTATCTGGACGACAGCTTGGAGAACAAAGTTCAGGAGGCAAGCAAACGCCGCCGATAACAAGGCATCGACAGTTGCCGTAGACTCCCTGATCAACTATGAGGCTGTCAAGTACTTCAACAACGAGAAGTTCGAAGTCGCGAGATACGACCAGGCACTCCAGGTCTACGAGAAAAGCTCCATCAAAGTCGCAACTTCGCTGGCCTTCCTCAACAGTGGACAAAACATCATCTTCTCTTCGGCGCTGACAGCCATGATGTATCTGGCTGCTAACGGTGTTGCTCAAGGCACGCTTACTGTCGGTGACCTCGTCATGGTCAACCAGCTCGTATTCCAGCTCTCCGTACCTCTCAACTTCCTTGGCTCCGTCTACCGTGAGCTTCGCCAGTCATTGCTCGACATGGAGACGCTTTTCAACCTGCAAAAGGTCAACGTTTCTATCAAGGATGCGCCCGACGCGAAACCCCTAGCCCTGTCCAAGGGTGGACAGATAAGATTCGAAAATGTCACCTTTGGCTACCACCCGGAGCGCCCTATCCTCCGCAACTTGTCTCTCACCATCCCTGCTGGCAAGAAGGTTGCCGTCGTCGGCCCCAGTGGTTGCGGAAAGTCCACACTTCTCCGACTCCTCTTCCGTTCTTACGACGCGCAGTCTGGCCGCATCTTTGTCGACGATCAGGATATCCGCCAAGTCCAGGTGGACTCTCTTCGCCGGGCAATTGGCGTTGTTCCCCAGGACACCCCGCTGTTCAACGACACCATCGAGCACAACATCCGATATGGCGATATGTCAGCACCCCCAGAGCGCGTCATCGCCGCCGCTCAGCGCGCGCGCATTCACGAAATCATTGAGCGGTTCCCCGACGGATACCAGACCAAGGTGGGAGAGCGTGGCTTGATGATTTCCGGCGGAGAGAAGCAGCGTCTTGCTGTCAGCAGACTCCTTCTCAAGGACCCACCCCTGCTCTTCTTCGATGAGGCCACCAGCGCGTTGGATACCCACACCGAGCAGGCCCTCATGCTCAACATCAACAGCATCCTGCGAGAAAAGGCACGGACCAGTGTGTTCGTGGCCCACAGACTGCGCACCATTTTCGACGCGGACCTCATTATCGTACTGAAGGAGGGTAACGTTGCCGAGATGGGCACGCATCGTGAGCTTATTGACAGGGGTGGACTCTATGCTGAGCTCTGGAGTGGTAAGTCGCTCACCTTTCTTTTATTATGATAACTTGACTGACGCCTTGTGTAGCCCAGGAAACCCTGTTCGATGCCGATGGCCAAGAACGCCAGCAATCAGAGGAGGATACAAAGAAGCCACCTGCGGCACGCTAAAGATACCATGTCCATTCAATTGTTTACTCGAAACCATAACAACTATCCCGCTTTACCTCAACCTAGAAACTACCTCTCCGTCGTGAATGCTATGGCCGAAAGAGACTGTCATCCGTCTTCTTCCTAGGAACTCTGCCCTTTCTCTGCCGCTGCCGTGCAGAAAGATACGACATTCTATACCTCCACCCGATGACGCTGGCTCGTCCATGATTCGGCAACCAGGTATCTTTTGGTTCCGCCGTACTCGTCCAAGTCAGGACTTCCGCTTGTGGAAAACCAAGCAGAGACGTGCCTTTTCCAGTCGACCTGAAAGTCCCGTTTGCCCATGCTGCAATCACATCCCACTTATAGCCGTACAGGAATGCTAGACCCATGACCCCGAACGTGACGGGGAGGGCCGAGATCCAGAAAATCTTCTGGTCGTAGTTGGTATCTCTGATGTCGGTCGTATTCATTCCGAAAAAGCTTGTGACGAATGACCTAAAGTTGATGATCAGTCCAAAACGTTCAATTCGAAGAGGGAGATTGACTTACAGTGGCAAGAAGAACAACGTCACTATGGTGAACACCCGAATCGCCTTTCCATGGCCCTCATCAAGGATCTCAATTCTCTGCTTCGTCTCGTCTCTCAATACTCTCACCTTTTTCCGGAGAACTCTAAGTGCCCTGTCGCGCTCCGCCAAACGACGCTGCTGTCTGCGCACGCACTTGCTCTCAAGTTTGAACAGAGACTTCCGTTCTTTGTAGTAGATCCAGTCGGTCGTGGGATACTTGAAAGTCAAGGGAGAGAAGAGCCTCTGGTACGCCCTTAACAGACCCTGCTGCGAAGCGACCACCATCTGCAGAGCTTCCAACTCCTCTTCAAGAGCATGGATCTCTACAAAAGCCTGCCGTTTCGGCTTTCGGTTGGTGTTGAATCGAAGTCTGGCGGTGTGGCTCCAGTAGTGGCTGATGAGGTCGACCTTTTCGTTGGTACCTTGCTTGGAGATGTTGTTCTGCAGGTTGCTGATTAGCGCGACTGCCAGGAACTCGGGACCTATTGGCGCAATGATGATTCTGTCCATGTCGCCCCTGCTGGTTCCCAGTAGCATGATGTCTTCCTTCGCTCGGTCGAGGTGATTGCGGACACGCTCTGAGATTGCTGCTCCATTCCTCCTGAGATCCATCAAGCGTCGCTCAGCATGACGGCCGTATAGCGAATCAGGAGTAACAGCAAGTCTGCTCATCCAGGAAATCTCCTTGGCTTTCAGCACGAAAAGGCCTATGATCCGCTCAAAGGCCTCAACAAGGCTATTAGGGAGATGGGGACGGCTATCCTGACAGTTGACCGAGTCGCTCAAGCTAGTTACGCTCATGACCAGCTTGTGGAGCTCCTCTGTCCGGTCAACCATGTCTTCTAACTCTTCGTAGAATAGCTCTAGACACGAAACCACCTCGTTCCTTGGAGCTTCCTTCGATCCAACGGTCCAAGATTCTTCGCCTTGCTGGCGGCGTATCCAAACGAAACAGGGATCATCAAATACCCGGCCCTTTTTCGCTTGATGTAGACATGGAGTCCCCATGTGGACCTTGTGCCAATGGCCAAGTGCTTCTTCCGGTGATAAGTACTTTCTCTCCTTATCGCAGTCATCGCAATCGACTAAAGCTCTTGAGCCTGAGATTGAGGCTGACTCTCCTGGCGGAAAGGGAGTGGTTGGCCGAGCTACAGTCCAGGACAGCTGGTCGGTTCCTTCCATTTCATCGTTCGACCATTGAAGGCCCTGAAAGACGTTAGTTTGGTCAAAATACGTCCGCATTTCGCTTAGAGCTCTCACCCTTAGTATCGCATCGACTGAACCCCAGAATCGTTTACAAACCGGATGATGAACAAGACGCCCCTCGTCGGGAAGAAAGGCGCTGAGAATACTTTGGGAAACGCTGAAGATTCTTGATATGAGGAACGATTCATGGTCCTCTTGGGGATTCATCAGTTTCCAAGGATCATTAACAGATCGGAGATCGTCGCGTGATGATCTGTGTACAGGTGGGCGGAAATGTGTGTTGGGCTCAACCTCCGAGTCGAACTCATTGTCTTCGTTCTCGGTAGATCCAAGCAACGTCGACGCTTGAGCTACAAGGCTTCCAACAGACCCCTCACGTTTAATGCTGTCCTTGAGTTCTGATTCGTTTAGATCGGCGTCAACCCCAGACTTTGATTTTGGATTTTCGTCCGGCCCCGAATCAGTCTGCGCCTTGTCCTCAGTTGCCTCTCCAGTTGGTCTGGGTGGCGACACTTGCAACATGCTAGCCAGTCGCTGTGTAAGCTCGCCCTTAGTACATTCGAAAGAAGCCTTGTACCATTTGCCCACTTTATCCGACTCGATAGTCGCATTGAGGTTACCCAGTAGCTGAGTAAGGGTCTTTTCAATTTCGGACTGTGACCTCTTGTCGTCGTCCCATGTTAATCTCCAGGCAAGGAACGGTACAAAGTTGAGATCGCCTAGATTCAGTGGCGGTATGCTCGTGGAGAGAAAACTCGTCCCAAATTCCCGATCGGGAGTTTGTCTGTTCCACGAGCCGTTGAACGAACTTGCATCACTACGTGTCCTTCTGAACTGCTCCTGATCAGTGAGCCAAGATGGAAGTGGCTCTGCTTCTAAGGGAGAGTCGCGGGCATAAGTAAAGCTTGGAGTTCTTGAACGGCTTCGACGTCGTCTATGACGTGACACAGGAACGTCGGTCGTGAAGTTCGATCTCAAACTCCTTGTTGACATAGATCGCATTGTTTGTCTGTGATTTCGTGGGAGAGTAAATCTTCTTTCCTCAACAACCTCAACATATGACTGGCCAGGCTGTAATCGTGGGCTACCAGTCTGCACAAGGAAGCCATTATCAGCTTCGTCTTGTCATGAGGATGATGTAATTACATACTGTTTCACTCGTCTGATCCGATTCTTCTGTTTCTTTTTTCAGCTTGAAGAGCTTCGGGGCTTCAGCACCTCCAAGCGAGACAGACGAATCAAAGTTGGCCATGTTTCTCATCCTGAAGCTTGTTTCTGACATGGATGTAGTCAAGTCAACTGTCCCATCAAGTGATGAATTTTCAACGCCCAAGTGTGAATCAAACGACATTGTCGAGGTTTCAAACGTGTCGCTTCCTACCTGTTCTGACCCGACTTCTGAAGGGCTCGGAGAGTCACCACCATATTCCCACATACCAGGATGTAATACCATCTGCATGTCAACGTTGATGGGATCCAAATTTGTGGCTCTCGAGTCGGATCTGAATGAACTAGGGAGGTGGGAAACAATCAGAACCCATGGCCCACAAAGACGTGAGACCTCATTTGTATCTTACCTCTGGCGTGACGCTCTGCGGCTACCCAGGTTGCTCCTACTTCCCGCAGTGAGGAGCCTTTCCGACAAAGCAAGGAACTCCTCATTGGGTCTCCGCTGCGACTCGTGTTTCTCTCGGATTCCGAAGACATAGTCCTCAATGGTCTCGCTCGCAAGTAAGTTCAGCCAGATATCTGCTGTGATTATGCCCCAATAATCATTGACTAGCACGTAAGCAGCTGCATTTACAGGGCCTTGGCCCTTCAGTGCTAGTGCCACCGCATGCTTCAGAAAGTCCTCCAATTCTTAGGAGGAATCCTGGTAAGATCAAGTTGGTATCAACCAAAGACTCACTGCATATTTCCAGTCTGCTTTGACAACAACGTGATAACGGCACATATCCTTTTCGTCAATGAGCCTGACGGTGTAAAGTCCTGCAGATGATCTTGTTCGGTCAATCTTGATCAGATTTTGTTGTATCTCGGGCGACAGAAGTTCTGAAAAGGTGACGATCAGGTCTAATATGGTCAGGCGGTGTAAGCGAGTATCTCTCATGTGCGCAACTGGCGACTACTTGGTAGACAGAAGGATAACTTGCCTGCACCAACTATCAAGGTCCAAATTTGCGGAACCTTCAATTTGGGTTGTCTACCTTCTTCAAGCTTGAAGTTTTGGCCACGCGTCTCATTATTGGGGTGAGTTTCGTCGTCATAGCCATAGAGAACTTCTCGAAGACTCCTCATATAGTGCTTTCCGGGAAACCTTTTGGCTGATGGCCTGTGGGTAAGAAAAAGGTGAGGTGAAGAGATGAAGACTACAGGTTCGGTGTCAGAGGTGTCTTCATCTTCATAGATTCCAAGTGAGCTGTTGTATCTCCCAATGTATTGGATCATTGAGCCAGGTTCGAGGTAAGAGCCATTTTCTGAAGACCTCTCACATTTCGATATGACTTCTTTGAGAACTGTAAGTGCTACTAATCTTAGTGATTGAGATATGTATGGACAGTCTGATATCAGAGTCTTCATTTATCGGTTAGTGACCACGCTTTCAGGTTTGCGAATTTGCTCTTGATTGTTCAAAGCTCACCTCCATAGTCGTGATGTTCAGAGACCCGGACTGTACGTGTCTGGAGCAGTTCTTGTCAGATTTTAACATTTGCTTCACGATTAGGGTTACTCTCACAGCCATCTTAAACGAACAAGAGACTCATCCGTAGCCCCAAACTCGTAATCTTCTGGGCAGGCAAGAGTGATCTTTTGGTTGCCGGCTCGATCCATATAGAACTCTGCTGCATGTACTGTATTGAGCTCCGTCTTAGCTCCATTAATGAGGTCAGACTTTTCCTGGTTCCAAGCCAAAAGCTTTCCGGCAGCAGAGTTCAGATCGTTGTCCATAGATGATTTTGTGCTGTTCAGATTCAGGACCCCTGAGTAGATCACTGGACCTTCAAGACCATCCCAATCCCAATCCGTGTCTTCTAGTGTCGACTCTTTGTCCTCATACTCAAAGAACTCTTCAACTTCTCCCGTATTCATTTGTGATGTCTCAGTGTCAGGTGCGTTGACGTTGATCCAGTCAAAGCCTCCATCTTCATGCTGAGGGCCCGCCTCACCGCTATCGCCTACGTCCGAAGTCCCTTGGTCTGAACTTCGAATTCGTTTGCTGAGTTCGAGAAGTTCCTCAATGTGGTCCTGTCCGAGTGCCAGTTGGACAATGATGGTGTCTCCATCTTCGGCAAAGGAGTATCCAAGATGTATTAATGCGCGCTTGGAAACAATCCGTGAAGGAATTCGCGTTGTACCACGTTTTGGACGGGAGTCGCGTTGGAAGGAGCTGACACTGGGCGTTGGTGACCGGGAAGGCGAGCTCGGTGAGTCTGACCAATCCTCAAACCCATCCTCTTCGAAACGGATCTGCTTCGGCTTGTTCGCCATGTCTTCGACGGCAAGGGAGACTTCCTGAGCATGAGACCTTCTCGTGCTGGAAGCCGTCTGGTGATGGACTCAATAGTTTCCGCTATGCAACGCTCAGAGACCAATCCATTGCGGCGGTCAGTGACCGTTGAAGCTCGATAAGCTAAGTGCTGATGAATTTTGCGATAGCTAGATTTCGCGCAGCCTTGCTTACTTAGGACCCTGCCTGCTCTGTGCTAACCTCAGCTGGCGTTCAGCTTTGCAAGGGTATCATGCATCATGACGCAGCTTACGGTGCACCTGATCCACACATCATTGCAGCATCGTGCTCATTCAACCAGCCCAGAAAGATTGCGGGATATCAAATATAATTATATAAAGAAGAGGGAGGTTTCCGTGCAAATCCGCGCTGAGGTGAACTCTGACTTCCTGCCTCGACACCATGCAATATTTGTTTTCTAACAACGGCTAACAAGTTGCGGCGAGTTGCTGATTCGGTGCCCACGTTGTTCTGATTCTGGAAAGGTCAGTGAAATTTGAGTCAACATTCATACGAAAACATGGTCGACGCTTTGGTTAGAAATACCTATGTATCGCGAGCCTAAAGGGAAGATGATCGCTTCCTTTCGGGACGAACAGCATTTGGGCCTAATGCAGCCCACACAGCGCCCACATACTCCATATCTGTAAATCATCAAGATTAGTTCGTTAGAACCATGCTGCTTCAGACTACCTAGTCGTTCAGTAGCACGCCAGTCAAATTCTAATGATCGACTTGCGGCTCAAGGTGACGACGGACAAAACCCACTACCTCCGCTCCTCGTTTCGTCGGCATCACGACAAGCCCGAGTCACCGACCCACTTCACGGAGATGCTTGTTTTCTCCGGCCGGCCGCGTAGACAAGACAGTTCTCAACTGCAAGTCTCTATGCTGATTGGAAATCATATAAGAATATGCCGTCTGATTTGTTCTCGAAGTTGATTTCCCCTTCACCTTGCCTTCATGTTCACACCACATTGTACGCATCCAAACGCCCCTACACGTCACAACATCTGAACTCAAGCAACAACACAGACACACGCCAAACTTGCCATTACCGAAAATGACGTTCATTGAGAACCCTGTCATTCCCAAAGGATCGATTGCTGTGATCACTGGCGCTAATGGCTACATTGCGTCTCATATTGTAGACCAGTTCCTTCAACATGGGTACAGAGTTCGCGGAACGGTCCGTAACCCGAAGAAGAGTGCTTGGCTCGTCCCACACTTCGAAAAGAAGTACGGGGCAGGGAAGTTCGAACTACATGTGGTTCCTGATATGCAGGTTGATGGCGCGTATGATGAGGCTATCAAAGGTGAGTACTCTGCGCCCCATAGCATCAAGCTCCAAGGACTCAGCCTACTTCATAAGACACTCTGACTACACTACTCCTCTATGGTGTCATCTCACTCATTATTAACATAGGAGCATCCGTTTTCGTGCACACTGCAACCGTCATTGACTTCAACGGCGACCCAGCCGAAGTAATCGGAGGTGCAGTCAAATGCGGAATGGTCGCTATCGAGGCAGCATACAAGGAACCGAGCATGAAGCGGTTCATCCTAACTTCATCAGCGTCAACTCTCATGCCACTGAAGAAGGAGAACTTCTTTGCCCTAAAGGGCCAGACGGTGGGTGTGGACACATTTGGTCACGACGCCAAGGAACTGGCTTGGGCCCCTCCTCCATGGGGCGTTGAACACGGCGGAGCAATCTACGGTGCAAGTAAGATGGAGCAAGAGCAAAGCATCTGGAAATTCTACGAAGAGAATAAACCCAATCGGCCAGATATAGTGGTCAACTCGAGTAAGTCAAGTTCAATACTGTTGGGTGAGACATACCTAGAAGTAGTCTCGATCATAATGTGACCGTACATACTAACATGCATCTTTTCTGTTAGTTGTTCCAGACTTCAACTTTGGAAGAAGCATAGACCCTTCTCAAACTGGAGGCTCATCATCGTTTGGCCTCATTGTCGAGCTTTTCGAAGGAAAGACTCTTCCCGAGCTTTGGCATCTTCCCCACTATTTTGTCGACGTCGAGGATGATGCTGCTCTGCACGTTGCAGCGGCTATCCTGCCTGATGTCGAGAGTGAACGCATCTTCGCATTTGCCTATCCAATGAATTGGGACATAATCTTGGAAATTCTTCGGAAGCAGAACCCGGGAATGAAGTTCGCCGATAACTTTCACAATGAAGAATATCCTGTCACAGTGAGGCCCATTGCCAGGGCAGAAAGCCTTCTGAAGAGACTGGGAAGGCCGGGTTGGATCTCTTTGGAGCAAAGCATCGCGACTAACACTGAACACCTGAAAACTCCAAACGGTGCATAAATGAGTGTGGATAAGCAATACTTAGATTTAGACGGGGAGTTTCGAGAGTCATGAACTGTGATGCGGTGCGCAATAATCGCCAGACCAGGGTGTTGGGGCGTCATCAAGGGGAAAATGCTTACGTGCCTACACCCGTTCATACATCAGACTGCGGATTGGTGGCATTCTGTATTAGCGCAATCCTTCGTGCGCACCTCACTGGTTGTATCGGAACCAGATGCGAGCGAGACGATTTAATTGAACATTCCGTTGTATCTGCCATGTTCGTTACCTGCCGACCCGTTCCTGGCTCATGATATCCCCATCGAGGATTGGCCGGCCACCCGCATGCTTTCTTCCATCCTTCAGCTCGAACCTTGGCCATCCATGTTCATGACGAGTTGAAGAAGCTTAGTGCAACATTCCCCATCCAGCGATACGCACCGGCGGGATAACTCAAAGCCAAACTTCGGATGATGGGAAGGTGCGCCTCCGAGACAAAAACAACGGTCTATCTACCCCTCACCGACGCCACAGCTTTTCATCATCATCAAGTGCCTTACATATCGTTGGGGCAGTTTTCTTGTCAAATAGTTGGTGATGGCTTCGACCAATACTTCCGAGTCATTGGGCAGCAACCAAGGACTTTTGTATTCGCTCCAACAACATGCGACATCACCAATCATTACCTGGCTGTTGCTACCACTCCTGGGCATACCTTTCCTCCGCCATGTCTTGCGACAAAAGGCAAACGAGCCCCCGAGCTTGCCTGGCCTCATCCCCTATGTTTCAAATACATATCAGTACATCACCGACAATAGCAAATTCCTCGAGCGTGCCACCGAAGCACTGAAGAAGAGCAGCGTCGTGAAGTTCAACCTCGGCGCTGACACTGTATATTTAGTCGCGGGCTCTCACAATGTGCAGAAGCTATTTCGCAATAGCTCAAATAACACGCTCAGCTCTGACAAGTTCATCGTCATGGTCAATGGGCGTGTACAAGGAATGACTGACGAGGATGTGGCCGTGATGTATAACGATAGATCTGGTCGACTTAAGACACCCGCTGCAGGTACTGAGAGCATGCCTGAGAACCAGAGGTTCTGGGTCGGCTTGCATCACGTCTTCAATGCGCATCTTTTTCGCGCCGAGGCTACTGCGAGGTTAGCGGAGTCGTTCATCACCTTTTTCGGAGAGAAGCTCGACCAGCAGCCGCGTGATGAGTGGCAAACCTTGCAACTGTTCAAGTACCTCAAGAAGGATATGGCCGAGGCTGCGACGATCTCACTTGCAGGGCGAAAGCTGATTGAGGATCATCCGGAATTCGTCGACATCTTTTGGGAATTCGATACGATTGCGATGCAGCTCATGTACGGCCTTCCAAATTGGATTAATCCTAGGCCGAAACAGATCCAGCGCAAGACCCTAGCCATGATGTCGGACTTCCTAACTGACGCGTGGGCCAAATTTGACTGGAACGGACCTGATGCCGACGCGGACTGGGAGCCGATCTTTGGCTCGAGACTCCAACGTGAACACTCCAAGTTTTGGCAGCAAAAGGGATTCTCGCTTCAGTCGCGAGCTGGAATGTACATCGGAAGTATTACAGGGTATGACGCTTCATCTCTCATCTGATTGTGGAAGCTACTTGACTCAATGCTGATTTCCAAACTTCCGCTAAGCATTAACTCAAATTCCGTTCCCCAGACAGCTTGGGCCGTCATGGAAGTGATTAAAGACCGGTCGCTCTTCCAGGCGGTCCGCGAAGAGGTCGATTCAGTATCAGTCACCGACCCCAAGACTGGAAAACCAACGTTTGACGTGGCAAAGCTGGTTACCCTACCCTTGCTTCAGTCAATCTACGTGGAGACACTGCGAATGCATGTGTCCATTAACATCACCCGTGAAGTTATGGAGCCGACGGAACTGGGTGGGTATCACCTGAGTAAAGGCTCTCTGGTGCAAGCACCAACGCAGATTGGGCATCGTGAAGAGTCAGTGTGGGGTGTCGAGGGGCACCCTGCGTCAGAATTCTGGGCGGAACGTCACATCAAGTACGTCGAGAAGCAGGATGAAGACGGCAAACCTCAGAACGTCAAGGAATTCTCCATGACCGGAAGACCGAGTGACTTCTTCCCTTACGGTAAGCTGGACCCATCTAGTCGTCTTCATGACCTTGGCTTACACGTGCGTCACAGGTGGTGGTGTGTCTATGTGCCCGGGGCGTTTCTTTGCCAAGCAGGAGATTATGCTGGCTGTCGCTATGATTGCGTCTCGGTTCGACATTGAATTTGAAGATTGGGTTAACTTTGACGGGTCGCGCTCGGAAAGGCCTCCTATGAACGACAAGGCGTATGTAGGTGCAGGAGCTGTGCCACCGGACAGAGACATGCGCATACGCTGGAAGAGACGTTGGTGAGCATTTTCAAAGTTCGATTAAACCCAAGTCTTTCTTGTGATGATCAGGTGCGGAAGAGCGCGTCGGCAACTTGCGAGAATAGAGAAAATTGTTGCGCTGTTTCTCAACGAAGATGAAATCGTAAGGGAACGATGGAAAATCGTCAGGATAGTCTGTATGAACTACACGTGGGTGGACATTGAGTAGAAGTAAGAGTATTGTAACAGTGCCATTAAGTTCATGATCATTATGAGTTAACTATGAATACAAGATGATATGGGTACAGTGCTCGCTTTCATCAAATCCTTTAGTTCATACGGTAAACAGCATCCTTCTTGAAGTATCTGCTGATATCATTGTCCTCGCCGCACTTGGTGCAGGTATGGAAAACCTTGGCTCCGTCATGTCCTGGGCCGTAATGGTCAGGGCCCATTCCTTGGGGTCCCGGGCCGGTGGTGCCAGGGACATGAGAAGAGTGCGTACCTTGGTTTAAAGCGGAAGATCCAGTGTGGCCTCCGATACTAGTGCCAGCAACATTGCTGTGGGTGGCACCGTGAGTACCGTGAGTGCCGGTAGGAGACTGGTTGTAGGGGTCCAGCATGCTAGTCTTGGGGACGCCGGGCTCATTGCCGGTAAGGCTGGAACGGTGGTGATCATGAACACCACCAGCGTGGGTGCCAGTGATACCGCCATGGGTTCCGTGGGTGTTGTGACCAACAGGAGAGTTGACACCGCCGACGGTGTTGGTGCCTCCAATACCAGACTCATGCAAGTCATCGCGGTGATGTCTGTGGGCAGCCTGGCCAGCCGCCACGGCAGCTCCAGCTCCAACACCGGCACCGATACCAGCACCAGCAGCGCCGTGTCCAGTGCGCTCACGACCCATGTCTCTGTCTCTCATACGAGTGTCATACGGGTCATTGACGTTGCCGCCGGACAGAGCCGCTTGAGGGTTGTGGGCAGCGCTGTGAACGCCGCTGTAGGGGTCACTGCCGGCACCACCAACTCCAGCACCGGAACCGTGGGGGTGAGTGAAGTCACGACCCTCCATGGAGCGGTCGACACCGGAGGCAGGGTCGTGGTGAGTGGACGCCACGGGGTTGTAGTGTCCTCCGCCAACGGCCTGAGGGCCTCCATGGCCGACAGTAGGCTCGTTGGGGCGCAGAGGCAAGTCCTTGTTGAGAGTGGAACCATCACGGCCGACGTCACCCCAGTAGGGGTCCTGAGCGTTGGCGCGTTCGGCGTTAGCAAGGTACTCACCCTTGTAGGGCTTGTTGTGGCCAACACTGTGGCCGACTTCGACACCAGAATCATGGGGACGGTGGGTGCCAGTGAGACCTGCGCCCGGCGCGCCGCGGTGGTCACGATCCGAATCAACTCTGGGGTCCAACTTATTGGCAGCTCTTCCGGAGTGAGGACCGTGAACTCCATCAGGGTCGTTGTAGCCGGTGGTGGTGTTGCCTGCGACACCTCCAACGCCTCCGGTAGTACCGTGGGTGTTGCTGTGCAGGCCTCCGACGTGGCCGGTGCCGGTGTTGTTGTCGTAGGTGTTGTTGCCAGTCAGACCGGTAGCGGGAGCACCACGGTGGTCGCGATCGGAGTCGACTCTGGGGTCGAGCTTGTTGGCAGCTCTTCCTCCGTGCGGGCCATGGACGCCATCGGGGTCATTGTAACCCGTCGTGGTGTTGCTGTATCCTGCGGTATTGCTGCCGGTCAAGCCTCCCGTGTGGCCGGCAGTTGTGCCGTGAGTGGTGCCATGGGCGTTGCCGGTCAAGCCAGTGGTGGGCGCGTCGCGGTGGTCCCGGTCAGAGTCCACTCTCGGATCGGCCTTGTTGGCTACTCTTCCGGCGTGGGGCCCGTGAACTCCATCGGGATCATTGTAGCCAGTAGTGGTGTTGCTGGTGTGATGCGTGCCGGTGCCGGTGGTCCCAGGGACATGGCTTCCCGTGGTGCCGGTAGTGCCTCCGGTGTAGCCACCGGTTGTGTGCTTGGAGGTTCCGGTGGTGGTAGAGTCGGAGGGGAATGCTCCGGGTGGCTGGTCGCCCTCGTATGTGGTCTTTTGAGGGTGGTCGTCGCTGTGGAGGGCGTTCTTGATCTTAGCTCCCAAACCCATAGTTGCTGTTTGACTTGTTGAAGTTGTAGAGATGGAAAAGAGATGTTATGATGGTAAAATCCAAAGACTTGAGGCTCGATTATTGGGGTATCAAAGTAGCTGATGTTGTGTTATTGGTATCAAATTGTGTTGTTGAGTATTCTTCTGACACGATTAAGCTGAGGGACAGAGAGCATCAAATACTGCTTTCTCGAGGCACGCTGTTCATCGATTCTCATCCAACAACCAGCGTGATGTCACTTTGTCAACTTCCCTAGCCCAGAGGTCCAGACCATCTTGCCGCCGTCTTCGCAGCATCAGCAGGCCATGTCTCAGCTCCGAATTGTGTTGCTATGAGCTCATGTGGAGTTCCGCTGGCAGAACAGTCGGCTCCCGAGCGCAAAACTTCGGTTCGAGAAGCACCTTCATGACGGCGAGGGAGGGATTCATGACGTGAACTGCGGGGATGTGTGATCGAGCTTCCATCCGCTCCCGCAGTAGTGGAAGCTTGTCTCCGGTCTTGGACGCGCACCGGCACACGGATCCGAGGAGGTTCGCCCTTGAAAACAGGGAAACGGCCTCTCCACTCACGATGTGGGATGTCCCTCCATTGGCAGTCGTCATTTAGGAGGGGCGCCACGAGAACACCCGCCACACGGTTACGTTACCCCAGGAAACTCAGGTTTAGCTAGTGCCACAGTGGCTGTCATATGTGGCGTAGTCTGATGGATGGGGATCTGCTGGGTGCAGAATTCGGTCTTGACGGTTCTGACGCTTGAGATCCAGTCAATCCAGTCAATGGCACCGGCTGACGCGTCGGGAGTCTCTCATTTGTCAAAGTCCTTGGAGCAAATCCTGGAAGTTGCACAGCCAACAATGGCTGTCTGTGAGGTTAGTGTCACTCAAGCAGAGAGGGGTTTGAGACGAGAATACCTAGCCGATGGCATTTGTGTGGAGGTAAAGCCCAATTATGACGCGGTTGTGCAACCAACATGAACATTAAGGCAAACAAGCTCAATCTTAGTCCTTGAGAGCTGAATCTTACGCAACATTCAGCGGAACCAGGAACTTGAGGCGTTCAGCATCGTTTTCTACGTGGGTTTCGAGACCATCACCAAGCAAAGTCCTTGTCGTGACCATGCGTACATGCTTCCATTACCTGCCGCCTGTCTCTTCGTTCCCTGACTTTTGCGATCGCTTCTTTAGGCTGGGCCTTGAAAGCACTAGGCCATTAATTCATGTACCCTGCCTGCCCTGTCGAATGGGTTCATCTGCTCAGTTGGTGTTCCTGATCAGCGGCACCACCCCAATCTTCTTTTCTCCGATCAAACTCAATTCCGCGACAGTCGACAGGCGACACTCTTGTTCGCTTGCATTGATTCTTATCAAGGAGTACAGCATACGATACAATGTAACTTGGGGGCCCTTTGAGGCCAAAATTTGATGGGCTTTGGTTCGTCGATAGCATGCCTTTATGTTAGAACTTGGCAGGGGCTGAACGTAGCTTGCGCCCGAGACAGCAGCCATTTGGCGGATTTTCGTCGCTTTACCCCGCCTGAAATCCTACGCTAAACTCTCTCGTCAGCTCTCTGGATCGTGAAGGCTGCTGCTGATAGAGGCGTTCAGTCGCGGGGGAATGCCCGTCTCCTTATAATCGTGTTATATCGGCCAGAAAGTGTCGTGCGGAATGACTAGTCTCGCGCAAGTTTCTCTGAGATTCCTCTCAGCTTTCGAGTGACATACCTAGCATCCCACTGAGAGCTAGTTCAACCGTTCAGTCTTCCACGTTCTCCGTGCCGATACCGCTGCCAACATGCTGAACCGCCGTGGGCCGATCTCGAAAATCGTCGGCAGCGCTGTCGACGCCGCGAAGAAATTCCAGGGAGATCAGAAACAACCGTCGGCAGCGCAAAAGACCAATAATGTGTCCACTGAGCCAGCCCAAGCAGGCTCATCAGTCACGTCTGGCCATGCAACGGTTGCCCAACATCAAGCGACGGGGAATGATTCCGACATTGACGAAGATTGGACCCTAGCGCTGGATGAAGCGCAGCAAGCTCAGTCACAGTCCTCCGGCAATCAACATGGGGCACCAATTGAAGACATTGAGGGAATGCTATCAGAATTCATTGTTCAACACCCGCCACCAGAGACCTCTAACATCGGAAGCGAGAGGCATGGTCTGCCAATGCCTGTCATACTTCCTCAACGCCGCCCCGAGTCTCGACACCGCGGTTTCGTGCGAGCTTACGCCCCGGTCCTACAAGAATGTGGCATAGATCAACCCACCTGGCTGGAGTTCCTCGACGGTTTTGAGAACAGCATCAAAGGAAGTCCGTGGTTCGGGGTTGTGAACGCCGGCGTCATGGGTGCAGATCTCGCTCACACAGTCGTGGGTGGGTTCGCGCCCATCACAATGCTTGTGACGCTCTCGGTCCAGACGGGGCTTGAGGCATCGCGCAGGGGCTACGTGAACTACAAACAAAACAACTACCTCGAAGTCATGAACGAAAACTTCTTCAAACCTCGTGGCTTGTATGCTCTTGTTGTAAAGTACAAGCCGTCTAGCAGCGAAGTCGTAGAGAATATCGATCTGGATTCGAATATCACCCAGGCCGTAGAAGGCAGCGAGAAACAGAGCAAGTGGAAGAAGCTGCTGCACTCGGCTTCGAGTACGACGAAGAGTGAGGCTGAGATACCCGAGCCAGCGCCGCTCATCTTTCCTCAACTCGACAAGATGGATGAAGGGCAGAAGCAAAATATGGTAAAGAAGTTCGGAAATTCCATCTCAAAGTACTACGATCGAAAGGCTACGGACAGATTCAGGAAAGAACATCCAGACTCGAAGCTCATGCCGGAAGATTCGTCTGAAGAAGAAGGGCCAGAGACTTCCAGTTCGACGGAGGGGCACAAAGGCCCCGTTCGACGTCTGAAGCAGAGACGACAGGAACGCTTCGAGACGTCAGGCAGAGAGCGGAAATTTGGAAAGGAAGCTCGCGAGAAGCGGAAGAGAAACCGGCCGCTGAAGAAGTTGATGCGACAGGATGCTCTATACCTGATGGTTGTCAACCTTCCAACTCCCGACGAGATGAATGCGGTCCTTGCTCAAGTCGAAGGACAGTGAGTGAGCTCTCGTGTGACGAGAGTTTACTCTGGAAAGACCTCCCGATATTTTCGATGAGAATAACTCATCATTATCTCAGTTATTCATTAATACAGAGTCCTAGAGAATCACGTCTACATCGACGTCGTATCCACATTCTGCGCCCCTTTTACAGTGACCGAAATCTCTTGCGAGGCCGAATCTTCCATGCTTGCCTCCAGAATCCTGGGGCCTTCAAATTTGGCAGCAATTTCTTCCAGCTTGAGTCCTTTGGTCTCCACAAACGTAAAGTATGCTACGACGAGGAAAACCACATTCCAGGAAGCATTGATAAAATAGAACTTCCACCCCAAGTCTGCCATAGCGTATGCCATTGTGAACGAAGCCAACAGACTATCTTATGTCAGCAGACAGTCTCGAGACGAACAGCGTAGAAGACTTGCCCGAATCCAGAGTCCAGCATGCGGAAAATTGCGATTCCCGTAGCTCTAAGCTTGTACTGCGAGACTTCCGTGGGATACAGACTGGTCATTGGCGTGATAGAAAAGGCGTAGAACCCTTGGAATAGGAAGATGACTGCAATCGTGCCGTAGATCCCGGATTGATTGGTGGATTCGCCATATGCTACGGAGTTGTCAGTCGTTGACTCTCGCCCAAGCCCCGTTCGCAGCAGCCATGCCGGCCGACGGCGTGGATCAAAACTCACTCTTGATAAGGCCGCCCACAATGTAGAGCATGGCAATCATGCCGCCCACACCAATGAACGTCTGCTTCCTTCTGCCCAAGATATCGAGCATGAAGCTGCCAAAGACCGCAACAGCAAATGACCAACAGTTCAGGATGACCTGAATCTGAGTTTGCTTCACTGTGTCCCTGATACCAGCCTGACTCAAAATCTTCGTGAGGTAAGACCTAGCCTCGAATAAGCCCAATTAAGAGTCAAGGGATCTAAAAGATGGCACCTACGAGATGATAAAGTTGCCAAACATGTTTATCATGGGACCAAATGTGCAGAGAATGGCGAGGCGTTTTCGATTAGCGGCTGTGGACGTAATCTCTCTCCACGGGTTTCGAGGATACTCCTCCTCCTCCCCCTTCATAATGCTTCTAATCTCGTGCAAACTCTCCCGGCCTTGCTGCATATCTTCGACGCCCTTACCTTGCATGATCACAAGAACCTCAAGAGCCTCATCGTCGCGGCCTTTTGCAATCAGCCAACGAGGCGACTCCGGAACGAATGGCACTAGTATGACTGCCAATAAGCCCGGGACGAACTGAAGCAGAGAGGGAAGACGCCAGGACCAAGTGCTCTGGATGTTTTGGCTGCCATAGTTGACAATAGCCGAGGCCAAGCTTCCCACGTAGAAACAAGAGAAGAGGAGACCGAGAATTCGGCCGCGCTTGCGTGCTGGCAGAAGTTCCCCGAGCAGAGTAGGGGCAGCGCCGTTGCTGATCGCAGAGCCGATGCCAACGATAATTCGAGCGATGACGAAAATGGCGATGTTTCGAGCTGCGGCTTGGAGAATAATGCCAATTACTGTGATGACTGATGCGATTAGAATAGCTCTTCGACGTCCGAAATAATCTGGCACTGGCTGCATTAAGAAGGCGCCCAGAATGCCTCCCATCCACGATGCAGCATTGTTGAGACCTTCCAAGGCAGGAGTCAAGTGGAAGTATTCGGTGTATGAGGGGAGAATGAGAAGGCCGTTCATGACTGAAGCATCGTATCCTAGAGTCTGTTAATTCATGGTTAGTAGAATGATCTAGTCTTCGAGAATTGTACTTACTACCGAGTTCACAATTGCTACAGCCAAAAGCAAAGGAGACAACACCTTCAGGTTGGCCGGTACCAACCTGGAGACGTGTTTACGCTCAAAGCCCATGTTCCTATTTCGATATTACTGTAAGCAAATCGCCTGATTTCCATTCATAATCACTCCATACTGTCGCATGGCTCCTTGACCACTCTTATATCCCATTGATTGTGAGTCGTGGTGATTTGTGATCTGCTCAAGTTGATTGGCTGCCTCGAGGCCTCGGGTGAGTTCGGGCGAGCCTATCGCTGGCCCACTTAGTAACTACCGGCTGGAACAAAGTTACTATCCCAGACTGTCGTCGCGGGGAAATGTCACCATTCTTACAAGCTTATTCACTCGGGAGAGCTCGGGCGGGTCTTGACAGACCGGATCATTGGCTAGGCCGGCGGCGCGACCAGACATTGGCCGTCCTGGGGCATGAGATATCACATCGAAAATGCGGGACGATGGGTGGTGGACGATAAGCTACTTAAGATGCCATTGCTCAACCTTTTTGGCCGCTAACAAGTTCCAAAGCCCAGTTCACTAGAAACCTAAGCAGCAGAAGATTCCTTTTGAAAATGCCCGGGAGCGTCCGAGAGTGGCCCGCGTGGCCGGAATACACCGACAAGGATGCCATTGAACCGAAAGACCCCGACTTTCTTGACACGAAGAGGGCAATCATATCCCGGTATGGTGCCGAAGCGTTGACAGAAAGCTGGCTTCGAGTCTGTGAACAGCTCAAGGCTGTCACTGATGAGATAGTCGACAAGGGTCGTGGTGTTATTCCAGTCTTCGACGCCCAAACGGTCCTCGACAAGGGCTTTACAGGAGCTGAAAGGGACGAGGTGAAGAGAGTAGGCACATTTGTCATTCGTGGGGTTATACCTAAGACCGAAACAACTCAACACTACGCAGACCTTAAACGCTACGCTGCCGAAAACAAACAGAGGATCCAGGGATGGCCAAAGGAGACTCCCTCGATGCTGATGCTGTATGACTCTCCGACCCAGAACGCCGTCAGATCACACCCAAATCACCTTCAGCTTCAACGCCTCCTGAATGAGCTCTGGCATGACGAAAGCGGTAAAGACGCATCGCCAGACCCTTTAGTGTACTATGATGGAGTACGGGACAGACCTCCGCGACAAGAATTTCTCGGACTAGGGCCACACATTGATTCCGGAAGCCTAGCTCGATGGGCAGATACGGCATACAGAGAGGTATACGGCAACATATTTTCCGGCAAGCCTGAGCTACACGATCCCTACGACCTTAGCTTGAGAAAAGTCGCGAACCAAGAGTTGTATCCAGGCATTGCTCATTCATCGGTCTTCCGCTCTTTTCAGGGTTGGACTGCCCTGACACGAACTGCCCCAAACGAGGGAACACTCCTCGTCTACCCCAACGTGGCTACTGTCGTTGCATACATGCTGCTGAGACCATTCTTCGGGTCTCCTGTCGACTCTGCGGATGTAATGGACGCGACCAAGTGGACTCTTGACGAGTCCGGCTTCTTCCCTGGGACGTTCAAGACCCAGAGCCAGCGGCTTAGTCGTTCGTCGCATCCTCACCTGAGACTGGAGGAGTGTCTGATCCATGTACCGAAGATGGAGCCGGGCGACACTGTTTGGTGGCATGCTGATGTAAGTTGTATTATGTTTTTGGATTGAGCAGCCGCTGACTGTAATCATGCAGGTCTGCCATGCAGTCGATCCGGTGCACGAGGGATCAGAGAATGCATCTGTGTTGTACATCGCCGCATGCCCCACGACTGCAAACAACAAGACATATGTGAAGAAGCAGTTGTCCGAAACTCTTGCTGGAAAACCGCCGCCAGACCAACAAGAAGGAAATGACTTGGACGAAACAACACTTAAGGGATACGCGGGACTGAAAGATTTAAGTGCAGAAGCAAAGCGCGCCTTTGGTTTTGGGTTGTGAGGTCGATGAGGCCACGTCGAGGCAAGAAAATACTAGTTGATGTTATGATAACTGTGCCTCTGTGTCTGACTCATCCAACGAAGACCTCAGGATAGCAACAGCCCTCTCTGCTATGGCGTTGCGTGATTTGACCTCGTCCAGGTATTCAATGGCGAGCTGCACCTCGTCCGTAAAGTCAACTTCAGCCCCAGCCTCTGCTCTATGGGATTCTCTGAGCAGAAAGATGGCAGCAACGAAGATATGCATCGATAATGCCCTTGAGAACGGGTTAGAGCCTCTTTAGACATTGCGACATTCGGAGACTTACCACTGTCTCCGCATCGCTACTGGCTGATCCCAGTTGTGGGTTATCCAGATGATGTCCATAGCAGAACGAATACACACTGCTCGAGCCCAGTCATATATGCCAGGGGCCGCCTGCCATTCCTTTTGTAAAGAACGATTGATGCGCATCCGGTGATGGAGAAGCACGAGGCTAATGTCGAATCGTTGCCATTCGATCCAGGGGTGAGTGAGCTCTAGCTCCTGCATTTCTTCGCTTTTACCACTATCGGGCTGGAGATGGTCGGGCAAAGTGTTGATGACCTCTGCTAGTTCATCATCAGCTAGGCGAACGACTTCAGAAACTGATCTTGTGCCCTCCCGCAGTGCTGATCTAAATCTGTGATAGACAGTCGAGGTTCGTGCCATGAAGATGTGATACAGTACAGGGTGAGGACCTTCATTGTCAGATTCCGCTGAAGGCAGTGGGACATTGAAATCTTCTTCGTCTACATGAGGCACGTAGTAAGGGACCGCAAGCCTCGCTAAGGATTAGCACTACCTCGCGCATCGCAATTCTGAATGAGACTTTACCATTCACAAATAATCAAGGTCCACCATAGACGCCTTTGAGCTTCGAGGCCCAGCTCCGTATGGGAATATGAAGCTTGGGTGCCGTCCAGCCCGAGATTCCGAGCGATTCGTATTGCGCAGCTCCAGAGATGACGGTAAAGAACAGAATCTCCGAAGTTATGGAAGCACATTCCAAGTACTGCGATCGCCTGAACAGGGCGAATTGTGCTACTTCTCATGTAGTCTGCTTCTTCGAGACAGAACAAGGCAGTCTTGTACCATTGTGATAGCATACTCCCAAGGTCTCCTGAAAGCCGACAGATACAGTCAGAAGTGGGCGCATGGAATCGAGGAGGTGGGTATGACTTCACCTGTAGGGAGTATCTCACGGGCTTCCTTATCATCCATCATCAAAAGAGCAGCCTACCAGGGCAGTCAAATCAGTGCTGAGATCTCCGACTAGTTAGTCTATGTAGCAGCTTACCGTGATGACACTGAAATACACTGATAACCAACCGGGGTCGCAATCCCGCAAGACAGTACCCCTTTCTAAATCATTCATGAATTGAGCATGTTCCCGCTCGAATTCGGGATACTCGAGGGCATAGTGGACCCAGGAATTCCACTTCTTGTCATAAGCGATCAGTAGCTCGCTAGAATTTCGGCAGGGTACGTCGATGGTGCTCCAACCTTGGCGATGTCGATGCACTTGTGAGAGCGATGGGGACTTAAATACCATTTCTTCTAATGGGTCGTGGCACTCCAACAACTTCTGCGCAGTCCTCGATTTACGGAGTGACAAATCAGAAGTAGGGCAGACCTGCGCGGATGCTTCGAGAGCAATTTTCAGCCGCCGATTTTCCTGGATTAGCTCGTCATATGTCGGCAACTTGACTGGATCTTTGCCTCTACATCGCGAGACTCCAGTCAGCTCAGTTGAGGACCGTATTCAAGGATGAGAAGCGACCTTGTAACTTCGCCCCGTACCATCACAAGCTCTCGTGAACATGACTCGGGTGCGCCCTGGCGAATGCACGTTGAGCACGGTAGTCTCTTATCGCATTTGACTTTGCGAGCAGCGCAGGATCGACAACTCCTCGGGGCGCGCTGCGTCTTGCGATATGAAGACGGAGCATCAGATGACATATTCCGACAGAGATCCCTCCACGCCTGAACGCGTCGAGCAGCGGTTGTGGCCGAGGTCACCTTGGTCGCCGTAGAGACGTTCTCTCCAGCCATGAGCTTATCACGAGAATTTATGTTAGAAAATCAAGAGTGAGTCAAGTTTGTTTCGTTCCTGAACTCGACATTTGTAAAGAACCGAAACAAAGGTAAGCGATGTTTACCAAGCGTAAGCTCACCCGAACTCAGCCGGAATGAGGGAGTGGCTTATCAGCGAGGTGATAAGATAAGACCGTCCTTATCTAGACAGGAACACCAGTACGTACCACGGGTGCACCAAATCCCCTCACGTTGCTGGCCCTCCAGTTCCATCAGATTTGATACTATCACCACATCCTTCTATAGAGGGTATTCTCTGGATCGGCTCTCGAGCCATCAGACTCTGCAAAATCCACTACAAGCCCCCCACAACGGACCTCAGATACATAAGCGGAACATATCTCTCAGCATGGCATCAGCATTTCATGGAGCAGTCATCCACTCGCTTGGCCCAAATCAAGTCGAGATACTCGACAGCGCTGGAATCGTCGTTGGATCTGATGGACTAATCTCTCAATTCTACACCCAAATATCCGCCGAAGAGCTGTCTACAAAGCTTCCTAGCGATCAAAAAGTCAAGGTTCTTGCCAAAGGTCGATTCATATCCCCCGGTTTCATCGACACGCACAACCACGCTCCGCAATGGGCAATGAGAGGCCAGGGGCAGGGCCTCCATATCCTAGACTGGCTTGATCAAGTCACATTTCCCCACGAAGCTCGCTTCTCCGACCCTGCATACGCCCGCAAGGTCTACGAGAGCTGCGTAAAAGGCTTCCTCAAGCAAGGCATTACGACCGCTTCCTACTACGGTTCAAAACACGCCGAGGCGACACAGATTTTGGCGGACATCTGCCATCAGCTGAATCAGAGAGCTTTCGTAGGAAAGTGTAACATGGATCGTAACGCTCCAAGCTACCTCCATGATGAATCTGCCGAGTCTTCTTTGAAGGAAACGGAGGAATGCGTCAAACACATTCGCGAGATCGACCCGGCCGGACAGCTGATTCGGCCTGTCTTGACTCCAAGATTTGCAATTTGTTGCACCCCCGACTTGCTCAAAGGCCTGGGCCAGATGGCATCCAAAGACCCGGGGCTAGCAATTCAAACGCACTTCAACGAAGCTGAACAGGAAATTAAGGCAACAAGAGAGCTGTTCCCACAGTTTTCCAGCGAGGCAGACCTCTACCAACACTATGGCCTTTTGAACCAGCGTTCAATTCTTGCACATTGCACCTTCATGACAGAATACGAAATGGACAAGATCAAAGAGCTTCAGTGCGGCGTCGCACACTGCCCCATCTCGAACATGACAGTTGGAGGAGGCTTCATGGCGGCTTCCATACGCCAGTTTCTAACCAAGGGGATCAAGGTTGGTCTCGGAACCGACAGCGGTGGCGGATTTTCGTCAAGCATGCTGGACAGCATCCGCCAGGCAATCATAGCCTCCAACGCACGCGAAGTCATGTCTGGCGGCAAAGACAAGGCACTATCTCTGGACGAAGTTTTCTACCTCTCGACCCTCGGTGGAGCTCAGGTGTGTTGCCTCGAAGACAAGATTGGAAACTTCGCTGTGGGCAAAGCGTTTGATGCGATACTGGTCACAAGCTCCCTTGATGAAGCATTTGGGGTCATGACAGTCCGAGAAGAGACAGACAGCCTTCGGACGGTGTTCGAGAAGTTTTTAATGACTGGAGATGATCGCAATATCACTCAGGTGTACGTGCAAGGTAAATTGGTAAAGGACACATAGATCTAAGTGGGTGGTTCAGATAATTCCCGGCAAAAGTCGGATAGTTAGGGAACGATACCAATGAAAAGTTCTCTTCGCGAGATATCGTTTTTTCTCTTGACTAAACACTTAAATTCGCAGCCATTGGGGTCTCACTTGACCCATCTTGAAAGAAAGCGGGAGACCGTCTCGCGGAAGGCTTCCGGCTCATCACTCGGCGGACTGTGACCAGACTTCTCAAAGATCACGAGCTCGCTGTTTGGGATGCCCCTGCTGATTTCTTCTCCATATTCAACAGGTACTGCAACATCATGCCTCCCAGTCGCAACGAGTGTCGGTGCAGTGATGTCCTTCAGTCGTGACCGCACATCAAGCCGCGGAAGGTTGTAAGAGAAGGCAAAATTGTGCGTCTCGTAGTGTAGATGCTCGTGGGCATCGTTTCCCTCAAAGCTTGCGTCTTTCGAGCCTGCACTCGCGGAATGGTCTTTGGGTTTGTAGATTTCAACAATCTCCGCAAAGGCAGCAGCAAAGTCCTCGTTGTCTCGAATGTTGCCGCTGTTGAGTCGGACCTGTCTGTCTGGATCTGGTTTGATTCGATCGCTGGTGAGGATGGTTTTGATGAAACTAAAGGCCCCACGGAGGCCGCATGCCCATGTATCTCTCAGAATGAGAGCCAGGAGACGATCAGGATATGAAAGGGCATACTGCAATGCCACAAAGCCTCCGTAGGAACCTCCGGCTAGAACGAATTTCTCTGCACCCGCCCAGGATCTAGACCAACATGTTAGTCGAGTCACCATCAACGCGACGAGCAACAGTCCAGCCCTTACCTCAATTCATCTACGTCAGCCACCCAGCGTTCATCAGTGTAAGGTGGCTTCAACTCGCTTTCGCCGCTGCCTCTCGCATCATAAACCAGGACTCGAAAATCAGAGGCCAGAAAGCCGAACGATGAAATTGGTTCTCTATGGTCTGATAGGCCAGGCGCGCCATGTAAGACTATTATGAGAGATTTGATTTCATTCCTGTCGCCGAGAAGTTTTACCTGAACTTTAGCCCCGTCACTAAGTTGAACGATGGAAGGGCTCGCCATGTTGTTACGGACGAATTTTCGTTGAGTGCTAAAGAGGGTCTCGATCAAATCATATGAGAGGCTGGGGTTCTACTTGGCCTTTTGTTCGTCGTGAGGGGATTTTTCGCTTATAAATCAGGTCTTGATCATTCGCACTGGATATCGAGTCAAATCGCGTCATCCAATAACGATATGAGACAGGAGTCAACAGCCATGCTTCTGACAGCCGAAGGATCAAGACTCGAACGGAAGAGGCAAGCTGTCAGAATTTTGTCTCAAGAACGAATCAAAACTTAGGACTTTGGTTGCGACCCATGGCTGTCATACCGAATTGGAGGAAATAGAGGTCAGCACGTTGCCGGATGCTGTTCCAAACCAGCAAGTCTGGTAATTGGTAGTTCGCCCGTCCTTTTACACATCTAGAAAGTTAATAACTATATACGTCGGTGTATCAATCGTTCGTCTTTATATAGATTGATTGCTCTGTATGTCAATCAAAATACTGAACGCTCACTTTATTAGATGAACTGAGTTTTCACCAAAACTATGAGACTATCAAAAGGAAAAGGGGAGGCATCATTATTACAGAAGCCAGTTCAAAGGGCTGTTGTTGAAGATGGTGTACCTTGAAATCAAATGACTCGACGAACACTTTACTCTTGATGAGGCAGTCAGCATCTTGAGTATTTGCAGATGCATTTAATCTCAAATCACGCTCACTCGGCTCGAATGAAGGTGCTGAATCTTATTATTGCTATGCAACCAAAGTCTTGCTCGTTTTAAGGGTTGAATTACTGGAACCAGGCAGACCCCTCGGAGCCCGCCCGAAGCTTTGCTTCAGGTATTGCTTCATTACTTCGAGTGGCTATATCAAACCAATGTGACCCAATATAGGATTGGGGCTCTTCAGTTGCATGCAACACGGATCAACCTCTGGTCATCCATTGAAATAGGCTCAGCCCTCCAGTTCACCAAGGGCTAAAATACGGGAAGACTGTTGCTGAAAGCAGAAATTCTAACCTGGTGTGGGGTGAGAAAGAAAGGGGCCAGCCAGATTGGGACATCAACCTAGGAACGAAAGTAGGACCCTTGTCAGTGAGTCTCGGTCAGACCGACAACAGGCCATGACATGCCATCTTTGGGCAAAAGATCAATGATATATGCTTATGCTTCCGAAAAGAGACTTTCATAGGTTCGAATGGCTACTACAGGAGTAATCGTCAAGGGTATAGCTTGCAGAAGAGATGAAATTTACTGAGTGAGTAGAGAGCACGAGGAGCCGCGAGGAAACAATTCTCAGTGGAACACTGACTTTGGGATGAACTGTGCTAGGATCTTGGCTTTGCGTCCTGACTCGTGATAGATCGGATGTAGCCGAATTGGGGCCCTTCTCCGCGACATCCCCAGCTTAAGGACTACATGGGGTCGAAAACCGACAGCGAGTTCCGAGTGTTCATCCACTTTTTTGAGTATTAACCACTTTGGAACCTCGACCAACTGAATCGCCAACCCAAGCCTCCTGGACCAATGTGTTTGTCTATCCGTAAGTGATACTTCAAGCAGAGAGGATCTGAAGACATGGGAGCCCCTGGAATCCAAACGCTGGCGGATCGTAACGATGACAATTCCGAAGCGTTCTTGTCAAGACGTACATGCTTCTACAGCTTTATGTCAATATTGACTAAGTAGTGTCTATTGCCAGCGGCATTGTCCACATATACCATCGCCAAGTAAACAGGGTGTACCCTGGCCAACAATTAACATCTCCGGGTGAAGCCAGTGGATTCGATGTCTCGCTCGCGCTCACAAACACACATGTTCAATGTCATGGTCCCACAAGACGCGGCTGAGTTCAGCTGTCACTCTGCGGCGATGTTCCGAGCCCCGGCTCATGATGGTTGAAGTGGAATCTGATCCTTTTTGAGGCCAAGGGTCCTCAAGAGCCCTCAAGGGTCCCCAAGGGGTTCTCGAAATGCTTCGTTAAGTACGCTTTGAGCAGGCTTCCAGTAGATCGATCATAGCATATAAAGTGCGTGACTTAGCCTGGTCAGAAGTATCATTTTACATTTTGAACAACAAAGTCTTCTATCCTAGTGCCGAATAATTTGGATTTCACTCCTTCAAACTCCGTTGACTCTCTCATTTTCAGTCGCTCACTTTACTCTCATCATGAGACTCTCGATTTCCACTCTTTTAGCCTTCCAGGTACTGGTCGGCTCCAGTATAGCCGCCGCTCTGCCTGAAAAGGCCGTTCTTCGACCAGTCCAAAAACGACAGACCTCCGTTCCATCTACACCCCTCGGACCGGCCAGGTTCACACCCAAGACCAACGTCACCTTGCCCTATGAAGGACTCAACGCTACTAACGCCCTCGTCCGGGCCATGATGAAGCAACCTGCCGTCTTGTTGGAGAACATCGAGACAATCACCGATGTTGAGTGCTCGGCTACTGGGCTTGTTCTCAAGTTCAGTGCTACCGAAGACTACAACACTTGCTTGGGCGCATGGCCGGCAAAGGACTTCATCATCATCACAAACCACAACGGGACTTGCGACAGCGAGCACGAGCGAGGTGTCTACGTGGTCCAGAACTACACCTTCGACAATGCAACCTTGACTCTAACTGCTTCATCTACCAAAGCAGAGATCAGTGATCAGATGAATGACGCAGTCATCGACTTCCAACACACCGGCACTGCTACCTCCAAGCGCGATCTCTCCGGGACAATCTCTGCAGACCTCTCTGGCTCCACACTCGTCGCGACGGACGCTTTGAATATTGTCGCCAACGAAGCCAAGCTGGAAAGCACTGTCACGTTAGCTGGCCATGTCCACTACAACTTCTGGAAGTTTAAGGTTGACGAGTTCTACATTGATGTCGACTACTCGTCTGCTTTGAACCTCAACATCTCTGCTGCAGTCAACGCCCAGTATTCGACGAAGTTGTACAACTACAACCCCTTGTCCGTTTCTGTCTCTGCCTTCACTATTCCTGGAATTATCGATGTAGGCCCCATGGTGGACTTCGGCCTCGGCATCGAATTTGCTGCATCTGGTGTAGTTAAGGCGTCCATGGACGTCATCTCCACCATTGCTGATGCTCAAGTCCACCTTGACTTTTTGGACTCCGCCAAGACCTCGACCACAGGCTGGAAGCCGCAGACCAACCTCACCACGGATATCAACGCTCAAATCGAGCTTCAGTTGAACCCATTTGCTGACCTGACCGTTGCTCTGGGTGTCAAGCTCTTCAACGGCCTCCTCGACATGTCTGCCGGAGTCGAGGCGAAGCCACAGGTCGTCAACGTCTTTGCGGTGGACTTTGACTTCGCTTACACCAGCGCCAGTGGTGTTACCTTTGCAAAGCCTACTGGGGATCAGTGTAAGAATGGTGCCTGGTTTGCCAGCACCTTTCACCTGGGCGTTGACGCGTACGTCACGCAATTCTACACCAAGAAATTATATGAGGTCGATGTGCCGATCTACCAGTCGCAATGCTGGAATTTTGTCAACTAAATACCACAAGCACTTTAGCTTAGTAGTCTAGTGACGAAAAATGTTCTGCTGAAAGATTCTGGAGACTTACGTGATATTTTTCCACTGTTGTGTCCATACTAGATAGCCATGGAAAACCTACCGTGGTAGATGTCACGAAACCTGTGTAAGAGACACCTACTCTGCAGCACTGACAACAGTTCTCGGATCAACAATTACTCTGGCAAGCATGCTACCGCAACTAATATGTTCAAGATGATGTTATTCTTCCTACGAAGTATTGACCTAAGGTAAGTCAGCCCAGCAGGTGTCCAGCACAGCAAGGAGTTACGGCAAACCATATGCAGCTACTGGACTGCTGTCAATAGGCGTATGACGCAGGAAGGAAGATCGCAGATGCCAACTGCTGTTAGTGTCAAAGATATGAATTACCGAAGCCTGGCCCTCCCTAGACGTGTACTCCCTGCGCTGTATATACATACCTGAGCGGGTCCTTTGTTGCTCAGATTCTTCATGACATCCCTATGCTAACCCCTATCCGGGAGGGTTCTAACACCTACCTACATACCGCGAAGACTAATATCTCAATTGCATACTTCATATTTGGTATGAGAGCTTTGAAGGTGTGGAAATCGAACCTATTGAGGTCTCTGCCTTTGTTCTAACCTCACGTAGGCAGCGCGGGCTTTAGATCTCGGGGTAGACTAAGTCAATTGGGCATAGGAAACCCGAAGTTGTAGATTGCCTAAGCACATAACTAGACAGACTGGTGGCGCTATCAACATCCCTGCGGATTCCCACTCAGCGAGACTCGAGCGTGCTGAACATCAGCTTTTGCAGACCGTGAGGCTACAACCCTTGCTTTCACGGTGCTTGGCGTTCAGGGTTGTACCGCAATCACCTTCCCATCGCAGCAATAGTGACCGTCTTGGCCTGGATACGAGATGAGGTGATGTTCATAGAACAGCTTCGAATAGACGGTCGTCGATGTATTATCAACTCCATGTTGCTCTTCATCTAGAATGACACGATGAAAACAGGCTATTCTGGCGACGTACATAACATCTCTTATCTGCTCCACGACAAGCACTTGCAAGTGTGTTCATCTAAGAACGAGATCAACTGAGCTAGTCACATCATCGCATGATGTCAAACGTCAAGCGCATCGTCGCCCTGTTAGGGTTCTCATCGGGTGTTCTGGCCAGCCCGTTGATCGCGAATGATTCCAGCGAGAGCTCCATCGTTCCCAACAAGTACATCGTTCGCGTTGCTCCAGGCACCTACGACTCCGATTTCGAGAGCCACTTGCGCTGGGTCGCCAACGTCCCCAAGCGCAGCCTGTCTCGTCGGAGCACTGCTGGAGTTGAGAAGACCTTCAGCGTCGGCGACTTCAAAGCTTACGCCGGCGAGTTTGACGTCGATGCCATTGCGGAGATTGAAAAGGACGGATATGTAAGTAGACTTTGCGTTTTGGCAACCAAATGTTCGGATACTGATCTCAGGATCCAAGGCCGTCAGCGTCGAGCCAGACCGAGTTGTCAAGGTGACAGCTTTGGTCACTCAAGCGGATGCCCCATGGGGACTTACAAGCCTGTCTTCGACAACTCCTCTAACAGACGGCAGCAGCTCCAGCCCTAACGTGTATGATAGCACCGCTGGAGAAGGGACCTATGCCTACGTTCTTGACTCAGGAGTCACTCTTGAGCACGCAGAACTCGAGGGGCGCGTCATCCGAGGCTACAACGCGTGGGCACCAAATTACCCTTTTGAGGACGAATTCGGTCATGGCTCCCACGTTGCCGGTATTATTGGCGCAGCTACATACGGCGTGGCGAAGAAGGCGACCGTCGTCGATGTCAAGGTCGTTCGGGGCCTTATAAGTGCACCGACTCCTGGAGTCCTGACAATTGCATCGTTAGCTGACGTTAGGATCTGTACTAGGGCTACTTAAGCGTTGCTCATGTCTTGGATGGGTACAGCTGGGCCGTCAACAATATCACCAACACCCCAGGACGGGTCTCCAAAGCTGTCATTAACATGAGTCTAGGTGAGTTGGCTACACACGCACACACCCGATCATTGACTATCCGGGGAAAAGTTGGCTGACTTTACCGAAGCATTTCCCAAGAGCGACGCGATGAACTTTGCAGTAGATGCAGCTTTCGATCTTGGTGTCACAACCGTGGTCGGTGCTGGGAATGATGGCAAAGACGCTTCGACCAAGTCTCCCGCCTCTGCTCAGAAAGCCATCACGGTCGGGGCGATCGCTTGGAATTGGACTCGTGCGGACTGGAGCAACTTTGGAGCCGACGTAAACATCTTCGCGCCCGGTCTCGACATCCCATCGCTTTGGAGGCAGCCTGGGCAGGTGTCGGTGGTTTCTGGAACGTCCATGGCAACACCTCATGTCGCCGGACTGGTTGCCTGTCTTCAGACATTGTATCCTCTTGCGAATGCGGCAGCCGTTGTAGAGAAGTTGAACGCGCTTGCACTCAAGGGCTTTGTTGAGAATTCGGGAAGTGGGAGCGCAAACGTCCTCGCTCACAGCGGTGTTGTCTCCGTCTGAGTTGCATCATTTGCATCATAGACGAGGGGAAGAAGGAGATAGAGCTTGATTCAAGAGGGCTTGCATGTAGGCTCATGCCATGATAATGCAGCCAAGCAGCGCACTCGGAAGGTGTCAACGTGACGATTATCACAACTAGCTCAGCACCTCCTGCGAGATACGCGTCGTGGGGTTCTGGTCACTTACTTTAGCTATCTCGCGGCTATAGACGCAAGTCCATGCAGAGCCTCGGTAGTCTATTTCTAGTTCCAGTGCGTCGGACATGTTGCAGAATCAGGTCGAGAAGAGAAATGTTCGGCGAGAATTGCGGAGTCAGGTTGGTTTCCTGCGCGTGCCGTGCATCTTTGCCCGTCTCCTCACCAAACCGCATCCCTAAAGACCCTCTTATTCTCCAAATACGTCATGCAAGAATGAAACTTGGGGTAAGACTGAGGGATCAAGGATCCTGTGTGTATCACTCGCAGACGTCTCAAAGCAGCGGAGAAGCTCTTGTGGACTGAACAGCAACTTCATCGAATGGTTCATTAAAGTGAGATCTCATAGCTAAGGTAGGGATCACGTTGGGACCCCTCACCCCCCCCCCGCACTCTACAAAAGGCAGTAATTCGCCGATGAGAGACTCTTTGGTCTGAACTCTCGGGGGTTCGGAGTTCATCTTCGTGCACCCACTCGGGAGCAAACACCAACTCCCCCGGCCATCTTCTTATGCATCAACCAGCGTGAACCAGCTCCAAAACATGCCGGACACAAACTGGATCGCGGCGGCATCCCCGCGTCTTGGCGAAAGTTTCCCGCACTACCCCGCAGCGGCGCAGCCCACTATCTCGTTCTAGAAAGATATCCCGCGGCGATGACGGTGCTTGAGTGAGAGCCGGTCATCCGGGGCCGATTGAGAGATGGGGAAGATATTCTTGGTGGTTCGCTCGGTAGATGGTTTCGTGAGGGGTTCATGGGATAAATATGTCCGTTGCTGCTCCAGAGCGCCCTTGTGTGTATGGTTTGGTTACAATCGTCAAAGCTTCACTTTTTTACCCAGATAATACACACCATCATGTCGTCCCCAACAATGAAAGCCGTCAACTACCAAGGCCCTTACAAGGTCAAGGTCTCGGAGGTGTCTTTGCCCAAGATTCAGCACCCCGACGATGTCATCGTCAAAGTTACCACTGTGAGATGAACCTCCGCCCCGGTCCAACCGGCCTTCCTCTGTGAAAACTGAAGCTTATCAAGAATACAGGCTGCCATCTGCGGCTCAGACTTGCAGTAAGTCTACCAGCGGCGACACAATATCAGCGTACGGTTACTCACCATTCACAGCATGTACGAAGGAAGAACGGCTGCAGAGGCAGGCATCACTTTCGGTTAGTCACGGTTATACTTGTACGCTGAGCATGGGGTTTATTCTGATACGTTGCAGGTCATGAGAACATGGGAATCGTCGAGGAGCTTGGTGCTGGTGTCACCCTTCTCAAGAAGGGAGACCGCGTCGTAATGCCATTCAACGTCGCTGATGGCCGCTGCCACAACTGTGAAGAGGGACGGACAGCATTCTGCACTGGTGTTAACCCTGGATTCGCCGGTGGAGCTTATGGTAAGTCATCCTCGTGTGTAACAACAGACGTGAGCTTACACGTTTCGTAGGATACGTTGCCATGGGCCCCTACCCTGGAGGCCAAGCACAATACATCAGAGTTCCCTACGCCGATTTCAACGCCCTGAAGCTTCCTGCTGGCAAGGAGTTTGAGGCAGATTTTATTTTGCTTGCAGGTACGCATCTACCACCTCCACGGTCATTTCAACTTGACTGACCTTGTGCGCTTAACCAGATATCTTCCCCACTGGCTGGCACGGCATCGAGCTTTCCGGCTTCAAGCCCGGCGAGAGCGTTGCTGTGTTCGGCGCTGGCCCCGTCGGACTGATGGCCGCTTACTCGGCAGTTCTCCGTGGCGCATCAAGAGTTTATGTGGTCGATCGCGTTCCCGAGCGTCTCCAGTCCGCCGAGAAGATCGGATGTACACCAGTGGACTTCACCAAGGGCGATGCTGTCGAGCAAATCAAGAAGCTCAATGGCGGAGAAGTTGACCGTTCGGTGGATGCCGTTGGGTACCAGGCAGTGAGCGCCGGTGGAAACACTGAGCAGCCCAACATTGTGCTAGAGAATATGATCAAGGTTACACGAGCCTGCGGTGGACTTGGTATCCCAGGACTTTACGTTCCTAGGTAAGACTATGTCCTTCTACTTGGCGCTCAATTATGCAGTACTAACGAAGCGTCTTCATAGCGACCCCGGCGCGTCAGATGATGCTTCAGCAAAGGGCATGATCAGCTTGAGCTTTGGTAAGCTCTTCGAGAAGGGACTCTCTCTTGGAACAGGACAGTGCAACGTCAAGGCGTACAACCGATATCTGCGTGATTTGATCATTGCGGGCAAGGCCAAGCCTAGCTTTGTCGTCTCACATGAGATTAATATTGATGATGCAGAAGTCGCATATGAGAAGTTTGACAAGAGAATCGACGGCTACACAAAGGTTCTCATTCACCCCAACGGTGGTTTCTAATTTCTATGAGAGTGTTTGGGTTTGGGGAGTCGGCGGCTGTTGTCATATTGAAAAGTAAGAGGCTAAGGGCGTTGCTGACGGTGTTGTGAGCGGCTAGGTGGCATAGCGAAGAAGTTTCCTGACTACATGTAGTGAGATGATGCTTAACAATATGCAAAAATATTCAGTTTGATCGTTCCTTCTTACTCTCACATTCCCAACTCTGTGCTCTGTGGTGGTTTGAGCTTTTGTATGGGAAAGGTTATCCTTTATGAGACTAAGACACGTCGGAAGGGTGATATGGCTCAGAGCTATGCATGGTAAGTTGAACATAGCATGCAGTTGGCTGCTACTCCGGGTCCAGTTTGTTAAGGAATTCCACACCTGCAGTTGAATTTGGTAAAACTGTAATTGTATTTTGATTAGAACTTATGAGAGTTGTCGTGCCATTCTGGCCTATTGTGGTAAAATGGTGATGGTGATCTTGGTCCTCGACTTTCCGCCCGACCTTTTTCCACATCATCTGCATCCGCATCAGAGACATGCACCTCAATCTCTTGAGTGCACAAAATGCCCATCTCGATCGCGCTAACCTTAGTTTCGTGATACTCCTCCTTCTTTACGATGCTCTCCCTAGACTCTGAGCGTTCCATCGGGATTGTGATGTTTGTGATAGGAGGCCTTGCCGCATGTTTCCGACCCTTGTCTGTGCCTGCAGTCTTAGTGTATGGCCAGGAGCTATCTTCGCTTGTTCTTGATCGTGATGATGCGTTCCCGCCGTATGATTTGACCATGGTGGTCTTTGCCCTTCTCCAATACTCTTCCATCAAGCTGTCCAACACTGGCAATGAAGCTGTCACAACACCTAACGACAAGTCAAGACATGCCCATATCAGGGCTTCGGTGTAGTCCCACGTGTAGTCGTTGGTGAGTGTGGGAAGAATCTGGTACAGCAACCCACTCAAAACTGCCAAACCACCGATCATCCAGATTGCGAATAGTCGAATCCTTTTTGCCATTGCAATTCGGATCTTCAACAATATCACCGCGGGTGCGGCCAGTAAGACGAGCCCCTGAGCCACATGAAAGCCAGTCAAAATCTCTGACTGGATGTCAATGTTGATACACGAAGGAGCAGACTCTCGTCTACCCCGGGTTGCCAGGTTCCATTGCGCTGCTGGGGGACTGCATGCACAGACATTGAGGAAGATGGCGAGTAGGATGTATGCGAGGGTCGACCCGATGAAGATATCGCATGCGATTCGCCACCACCTCGGGAGTCTGTCGGCTAGTCTTCGCATGAATATTGCTATGGAGAGCTTGATTATGCCCACGGCAACGAAGAATGCTGTCTTGGAAACCATGGCCACCAAAACGCCGTTGTTGAATTGTTCGTAAGTGACTTCCCAGACATGTAGGGAAGCTGATCTGATTGCGAGGGAATGAAGTTGCGCAATTGGGTAAACGAGAGCTAGAAGCTGTCGGGAGCAGAGTCAGTACGTGGAGGTATCTTCAATGGATCTTCAGTCTCTCTGGCACGTACCGCAGCAACGACGACGGTCCAGTCGTCCCAGCCGAACTGCATAACTGAACCTCTTCGCAATCTCAGCCATATTCTTGCAGCCGTTGGCGCAACGATAGCTAGAATGACAAAAATAAGGCCTGCCAAAACGCCAGGCACCTTCGTCTCGTGGTTATAATCGGGAGGCTGCTTGGCGGCAACATAATAGCCTGTCATCGGGTTGGCATTCGTCATTCCGGCCATGCGGAAGAGACCCTTGGCGATGTAATAATCATTTTGAGTTGCGGGGGGTTGTCCGACGAACGCCGACGTCCCCGTCAAGGGGAGGCTGCTCGGGTCATCTGGTATCGAAGGAATATCCATCAGATGCCGCCATTAGTATCGATGGAACTCGGCGCGAGTTTTGGATTGAATGAATCTACAAGAAAAGATTGAGAAACCCATGAGAAAAGGGTCGGGGGTTTCATGATTGATCTACGATCGAGGAAGGCTTCTTAGCACATGTGCCGCTGACACGCGCTTCTAAAGGCAAAAGCAATGACACGGCCGCATAAGGATTGAGACCCCGAAGTCGCTTCCCTGTCGCCACGGAATTATGAAGAAAGTCATCTCCTGCGCCGCACGTAAACGTGGGTGATCGTTCCTTTTGACACATGGTCATAAATGACTGCGTGAGACTCAATGCAGGCGATGGCCAATTCGGCATCTCCTCCGGCTGGAAGCACCTCAGCCGTCTTGGCCAACAGCATTTGAGCTGGCAAAAGCAACTTGAGATCCACTTGAGACCCAAAATGGCGAAGATCTTGTGTTAAGGCTACTTCAGGCGCGATATGGGAGTTTCTTTTAGACAAGATCAAAGACATCGTATCCATACTCCATGCAAAGTGTCATCAAGTTACTGGATGTTCGGACCACGCCGAAAGTATGAAAAACATAATTGAGTATGTTTGTTTGAGTCAAACTCGCGATGAACACTAGTGAGCCTCATCTCTTTCTACTTGTAAACCCCCAAGTCCCACTGTCCCACAAGGACGCAAGCCATCCCGATCTAGGCTGTGATCCGTGAGCTTCCGCCTGCCCCGTCGCGTTTCCGCTTAAATCCCCACTAACCCTGCAGCATGCATACAATCTCTCTGGGCTCTGCCCACTCAGGACGCGGGTTGCCGGGATAGAGGTTTGTTGACATCGGACTTTCCACATGAAACCGGCGAGGATGGGGAAACAGCAATAGTAGCTCGGGGCCGTGGCCAATCTTCAGCACGCTGCAGGCATGCTCGAAGAATCTCATGTTCCCATACGTGGCATATGATCTATCACTGGGCTACATGAGCGCCAAACAGAACAACGACCGACGTGACAGCCCATATCAGGCTCTTGTTCAGCGTACGCTGGGCAGCAGCGGCGGAGCCCGTCGGCGACGCCGTGGCTGATGCAGTTGCGTAGGTCCCCAAATGAAGTTGACTGGAGATACTCGTAGCCTGCGCTTCGTTGACTGTTGCCCTACAAGGCTCTGCTGTGAAAGTTACATTGGTCGTGATTGCACATGACATCGGGCTGGTGACTGGATCGTCGTATTCCCCATCATAAAGCCCATGATATGTCGTCAACGACGCGTAGTTGATCATGCCCAAAGCAGTTGGGCATGTCCCAGTGAAGGTTGGCGTTGGGGCTCCCTGCGCAATGGTGAAGTCGAAAGTGTCGTTGCTGATCTTCTCGTTGGCTGAATACTCGACCCAGGTTTTCGAAAGATTGCACCAAGGTCCGGTGTGAATGGTCCAGGAAAACGTGTACTCGCCCACATCAAGTACATCCGCGTAGCGGGCCTCTATGTGCGGGTTGTCGGGATAGGTAGTGTCGTTCTTCAGGATGGACCCAATGGTGTTGAAAGGTAGTCTTTCTATTTGTTCATGAGGCTTCTTGTAGATATCCCATGAAAAAACCCAACCGAAATGATAGGCGACATTGGGGTTTTGCAGTGAAAGGATGACCGGGAAGCCTTCACTTGTTTTGGCGTATTTCCCACCTGCGCGAGGGAACACTAGGTCGAGCTCAATGGCATTGGTCGGTAGCTGGGCGGTTGCTAACTGCGTTATAAAAAGAAGGACGATCGTGACCAGGCTGTAGAAGATACCCATAACACGCCCGAAAGCGCCTCGAAGAGACGAATTGAATGAATGTCGAAATGGGCTGACGGATGGAATTACTCGAGCGTCTCACATCAGAAAAGGAGGAACTTCGTCTAGGAAATTGGACGAATCCTTCGACCCAGTGAGATCTTGGCACCATTAGCGGCTCCGTCTCTCGGCCGAGAATCAGCTCCGGTACGAGGGCATTCACTAACTGCACTAAAAGCGGTCCACTATTGGCACTAGATTCAGGCTATTTGTAGAGCAACAGTATCAGTAGATTGCAGCAACTCAAATAACTCTAAACGGCTTGGATAACACGTCATATTTGTTGACGCGGACGGCGTGAAAAGGGGAACAGCTATTTCCGTGTCACCAGCAAGATCTCTCCATATGAGGGTGATCTGCCAATCTGGATGATAATATCTACAAAATTTTGGACAAGAGCAACAATCATATTCACTCCTGATAAGGACATAAATGTGGGTGAAGTAACTATCAAATAAGGTACTATATGTGAACTTGATAGAAACCATAATCAATATATTTCGCGAGCTTCCTCCCCGGAGCTACCAGTCGTCTGTCAAGGACTCGTGCAGAAGCCTAGAAGCCGATACATCTATACGTTGCAAGTCGCATAAGATCGCTGTTTGGGGAAGAGATTACATAATTAATTATGACTCTCATGCCATTTTGACCTCACGTTCAAGGGTAATCGTTCAGTTCAATTATTGATCTTGACCTAGTGGTCCAAGCCGGACATTTCCTGGTTACTTGACTCCAAACTATGTCTCATCTAGACTCCATTCACCCGCGTATATCTCTGTCTCCACGACATAATGAGAAAAGAAAAAGGGCTCGGCTTCATATCCTCTCCCCTAGTGCCACAATTTCCGCCTCAATAGCTGCTCCAAACGCCGTTGTGTTGCCTGAGCCCTTCATATCTGGCGTCAAAACCGCGGCTTCTGCGCGTCCCAACACGTTCTCAATGCCCTTCAGCACCAAGTTTGCAGCATCCGTAAAACCAAAGTGTTGGAGCAGCATCTGACCAGCCCATATCATGCCAACAGGGTTGGCAACACCTTTGCCAGCGATGTCGGGTGCGCTACCATGTACTGGCTCGAACAAGCTAGGAAAATTGCCATCTGGGTTGATGTTTGCTGAAGGAGCAATGGCAATAGTACCTGTGCAAGCAGGTCCCAAGTCCGAAAGGATGTCGCCAAACAAATTACTTCCAACGACAACGTCGAAGATGTCTGGTCGTTGTACAAAGTGGGCAGTGAGGATATCGATGTGGTATTTGTCAACCTTGACATCTTCGTAGTTCTTCGCCATCTCCATCACGCGAGAATCCCAATAAGGCATGGATATGCTGATACCGTTGCTCTTCGTGGCACTTGTGAGGCTTTTGCGAGGACGGCTTTGAGCGAGGTCGAAGGCATAACGAAGAACTCTGTCAACACCGACTCTGGTCATGACGGTCTCTTGGATAACAGTCTCCCGGTCGGTTCCCTCAAATATTTTGCCGCCAATGCTGCTGTACTCGCCCTCGGTATTCTCACGAACAATCCAGAAGTCGATGTCCCCTGGCTTCCGATTGGCCAAGGGAGAGGTGACGCCGGGCATCAGACGACAGGGACGCAGGTTAATGTATTGGTCAAACTCGCGGCGGAACTTGAGCAAGCTGCCCCAAAGAGAGACATCGTCGGGCACTTGGTCAGGCATTCCCACAGCACCGAAGTAGATTGCGTCGAACTTGAGAAGCTTCTCCTTCCAATCGGAAGGCATCATCTGTCCATGTTTGTGATAGTATGCGCAGCTGGCAAAGTCGAACCATTCAAACTCCAGCGTAAGTCCAAATATTTTGGCGACTGCTTCGAGACTCTTGACACCCCATGGCATGACCTCGATGCCGATGCCGTCGCCAGGGATGACTGCAATCTTGAGGGATTGAGGAGACATTGTGGCGATAGGTAGTGATCCGACTGGTTGAACTGATGTGATGAGACCGAACTTACTGTGACCTCAACTGTCAACTTATGTAAATGTCTTTGTGTAAGAAGTTCGACAAGATTTGGAGTATTCCTGAGATCGGAGGAACTCGTATCAGCGCCGGGGCGAAGACCGGCGCAGTTTTCGCTTAAATGATGAGCCGCGGGATTCGGAAGCCGACCTTCTTCTCTACCGGGCCACTTCACCCGTGAGGCTATTGTAGGAATAATCTAGGGCACATCGGTAGATAGTATCGGGGTAATATTTTTGTTTGGTACCATATTTCCTGCGCATCGCATGTGTGCTGTTGCATGTAGGTTGGTGGTATCTCACTTCCATGCTCCTGCTACCTCAAGTTACCTAGATCATTTCCTCAAAAGCCACTCAGACATCTTGCCACTCAGAATTGTGCATTGTTAGCTTTCTCAAAATCCTGCCTTATTCCCGTTCAATATGGTCAAAGTCGCTGTTTTGGGCGCCTCAGGGCAGATTGGACAACCCTTGAGTCTCCTACTCAAATCGGTATGACCCCAAATTTCTCAATCATACAGAACCCGAGGGAACTGACATACTTAATCATAGTCACTCCTTGTGACAGATCTGAGACTTTACGATGTTGTTCACGCCGTCGGCGTAGCTACAGACCTCAACCACATTGATACTCCTTCAGTCGTCAAAGGTTATCTCCCCGAGAATGATGGTCTTCAAAAGGCCCTTGCCGGAGCGGAAGTCGTACTGATCTCTGCCGGCATTGCGCGAAAGCCGGGCATGACTCGAGATGGTTAGACCCTCATCAATTTCTTAGGCTGTTTGAATATTGAATCTCACATACTTTCAGATTTGTTCAAGACCAATGCCGGCATCATTGCCGACTTGGCTGCTGGAGTTGCCCAGTTCTGTCCTAAGGCATTGGTTGCAATTATTACCAATCCAGTCAACAGCACTGTCCCCATTGCCGCCGAAGTGTTAAAGAAGCACGGAGTTTTCGACCCCAAGCGCTTGTTCGGCGTCACGACACTGGATGTTGTGCGCGGATCCAAGTTTGTTGCTGATGTGCTTGGAAATATCAGCCCACAGGATCTCAAGGTACCTGTTGTTGGCGGACATTCGGGAGCAACAATCTTGCCGTTGATTAGCCAATCCCAGCCCTCAGTAAAGCTAAGTCAAGAGCAAATCGAGGCTATCACAAACAGTAAGTTCAATCGTTGTGAAGATGACAAAAGACACGAGCTAATGTAGAATTTGCAGGAGTTCAATTCGGCGGTGACGAGATTGTGAAAGCCAAGGCCGGTGCTGGGTCTGCGACTACATGCATGGCGTACGCTGGTTTCCGGTAAGTCTTTTAGAAAAAGCCATCTGTTTCATCCATGGACAGTTACTTATCGTAATATCCCCATAGCTTTGCTCTAGCCATTATCAAGGCCTCTCAAGGCCAAAGTGGTATTATAGAGCCTGCCTATGTCTACCTCCCTGGGTTGCAAGGAGGCGAGGCTGTAGCCGGCGAGCTCGGAGTGAGCTACTTTGCTGTCCCAGTGACATTCGGGCCTGAAGGTGCCGAGACCGCGCATCCCATTGGATCTTTGTCTGATTATGAAAAGGGTCTTTTGAAGGTGGCTGTTGATGAACTGGGAGGAAACATCAAGAAGGGGGAGGCCTTCACGCAGGCGTAAAGGAGCCGGCCACTGCTAGAGTAGACAATTTATAGAGACATTGGTTCTAATATGCTTCCTACTGCCTACCTTGCCCGATTTCTTTCAACTAAAAATGACCGAAAACGTAGCCTAGCCACGTTACCTTCTGAACTCCAAAGTATCAGTAAGCCCTCGCGCCCTTGTTTAAATTCAAAGCATGCCACGGCAACCAACGGAAAGTTCTGACAGGCCCCTAATGACGAAGCCTTCGCTCTTAGTATGGATACTGTGATTCTGCACCTGCATCGTTCACAATGTCCAGCAGCGAACCCCATGTAGCTCCATCGAACATGTCAAAAAAGTTGTCAGCGACTCCAAACTGTCCATCCATGCCTTGATTTGATGGGTTCCGGTTGCGATCTGGAAATGTTGTAGGTATAGGAGCAAAATAAGAACCCATGGATGAGGTGTTATTTTGAAAATTCAAGTCAGGCGGCGAGAAAAGATGACTGGCATCTGTTGGACGAACCTGACTCTGACTAGGCCGAGGGCTGTTTGGGTTGAAGTCGGATGTCTCAAAGTTGAAAAGATTCTGTCTTTGGCTTTCATGGACTCTTGAAACGGGATTGCCGTCTCTTAGCCGTTGAGTTGGAATCGGACTTTGAATGGTATGATTGGTGTACGATATCGGTAGTTGTCGCCGTGGAGACATCGAACCAGGATCTATAGGCTGATCTTGTCGCCCAGACGCATCAGCGCCTGCTATCCTCCGTTTGCTCCGCTTGGCACGCTTTTGTGTGGCATCATGGCCATCTTCATGATCTGAGCCCTCAATTGTATCTTTCCGGACTCTCTTATGTGTCCTGGGCCCCTGTGTGATACCCTGAAGCAGCACGGATAGGACTTCTCTACAGTGTCGGGCCATTGCCCATCGTTTTGTCAACTTATTCAGGAGTTGCAGCGAAGATTCAATTCCTCTACTTTTTCGTTAGTGAATTGGTAAAACACTCGAGTCGATGACTTCGATGGTACGCACGATATAGCTTTCGCAACATTGCAAACTTTGAGTCGAGCTGCTAGAGCCAGCACTAGACCGCTCATCCACACAGCTGACATGTATCCAGGCCAAAACAAAGGACCTCCCAAGTCCGAATACTGCCCAATGGTGCGGAGAATTGCGTAGGCAGCATTGATGCAAGTCTGTAATGCCTCGCGGAACTCTGCGCGTCTGGAGTCTAGTGAAAGGGAGGGGCGATTAAGTAGCAATATGGTATAATAGTAAGTGACAAAGGGAAACACGGTGGGGTCCGGGGTTAGCTGTGGTATGTCTTGTAAGGCTAGGGTGAAGCGTGGCTCTGTGAGATCGTTGCCGTAGGCTGTCACATCCGCTTTGAGAAACAAAACTGTTTGATTGTCCATTTCCCTGGCATGAATGGACTTGTGAAAGACTTCTAGAACTCTTCCCACTAGCTGTGAGTGCCGAACATGGTGTTCCAGAACAGCTTGTGTTTCTCGACGGTGGCGGAGGATCGCGGCAGCCTTGGGTGATGTGCTTGATGCCGGAGGATCGGTACTGGCTCTCTCATGTCGGCCCGATTCCTCTTCTACCTCGGGCGAGGTCCCCATGCTCTGATCTTGACCTGCTGGAGATGATGCCAACCGTTCGGGGTGGTTTGCGGGTAGGTGCAGGAAGGTGTTCTCCACTTGGCCATGGAGATCTGACTTTGCAACTGGTTCATGAAGGTCTCGCTGGCCTGGCGGGCATACGTCGATGTCTGAGTCTTGAATGCCATTCGGGTGCCCCAATGACTGGCTGATGAAACGGTCGAGAACGTAAAAGCTCCAAAACGTGCGCTTACGCATTGCGCGCTCATCCGGAGACAGGTGGTCGTATCGTACTGGGCATCTGTGCATGCCAGATTGAAAGATTGACTTAGATAACAAGCCACTAACAGACGACGCATGGCGTAGCGACATGGTGGAAACGAAATAGACTTGAGATGCTAGCAATGCTTGGATGGAAATTGTGTCGCAGCGGAGGGCTAGTATGCTAAGAGTTGGTAAGAGGTCTGAAGGTGAACGTATGGCTGCTGACCCCAGATCGAGAGGCCTATCTGTGTCAAGCTTAGCAATGTTCAATATGCACTTGAAGATGACAACTTGGCAGAGCGACTTTGAACTGCGCTGGTTGAAGTCGGGTGAGTAAAGATTTTCCAAGTCTGCTAGACACTCTGGCCCTTGTAGGAAAGGAACCAAAGGATGCCATATTCGGAAGTATGTAAGGAAGAGGTCCCGAGCAATCGCATAGTCAGGCAATGAACTCATGTCAGTCATAATATCCATCCCTGATGGGAGCGGTGAGGTCTCAGCATCCGACTCATGGTTCGCTCGAGCAGCGCTGCGGGAACCTGGCCTCTCTCGCGAAGGCTCTGGGTCATTCCGGTCGTTGTCGCCCACGATGCAATCTTCGGGAGATGGATCATCGTGGATATCGGCTCCTGAGGCGTGACGCCCATCGTCTGCCTCAGCGCCTTCGGTTGTTGAGAAAGCCCTTCGAACGGTGTTGATGAAGAAGACGCCTGAAGAGCTGCCAACAAACTGGCTTTCCCCGTTGGCAAGGGCTCTAAGACTTCCGATCTCTGGTGCCATATCTATCCAATGACTTGTTGCCAGGCTGCTGAGAAGCCAAGCCACGCTCCGTCGACGCTGTTTGCTCTCATTTGCCCCCTAAACGTGGCGGATGGGAGTCATGTCGTCAAAAACGCGCTGACGAGCTTGACGTGCAGTGCCTTGAGGGGTGGGGTGCGGCGGAGTTAGATTACTCCGTGGCTGAAAGGGCTTGAGTGAGTCTGCCGAAGATATCCGCCCATCGAAGATAAATGCGATTCATTTCCTCCCAACAAGAACATTCCAGCAAGTTGGCAATGACAAAGCTGCGATGAGCTCGGGAAACAAAGCCTCTTGAGTGGTTCAATGCGTGAACCGATTCACTGTAATTATTCCCAAGGGGTCCACAGAGGAATAGGTCATAGATGGCCAAGCCAAGGTAGTAATATTACGAATCTATTCTCATTGCCATGTACCTCACCCATGGCCACACATGAGATAGTCTTGAATGTGAACCTACCCAAGGGATTGCAGCTACCAAAGGAATGCGCTTTCATAACTTTCCGAAATTGGTGGGCGTGTTTCCCGCCTCTTTTCACTCGTTCTCGTGTCGGAGCTGCCTCTAGAACCCGTCAACTCTTCTGCGGGTAACCCAGCAGTTACTCCGCCGGTATCCCTTATCCTAGTAGCGTTCCGTTCCGAGGCTCTTGACCTATCCGGGTCTATCATCAGAGTTTCCTCGTCTTCTTCCATGCTTTCTGCGCGCGTCATGTCCTCAGACTCCTCGACATCATCATCCCCGTAACTATCATCGCCACCTGGTGTGTGATCGGTCGGCGTGCCGTTTGTAGCAGCAACCTCGGACGGGTGAGAATCTCGATTGAGCGTCTCGCTTGTTTCTATCGAGGTTCGATCTGCCCACCAACGCTGAACAGCTTCTGCCGAGTCGATAGGGTGGTTGTTCCAGTACACAGGACCAAACTTTTCCCCTTTGACCACCTCGATTGATGTTCCGCCGTTGGCCGACAAGGCACTGCCAGTCGATCGGAGGCCTACTTTTGGGATATCACGAAATGCTGTTTCCAGTTGGTCTCTTGACACTTGCCCCAATAGTGCGCAGAGGACCTGTTCAGTTTCCATCAAACGCTTTTCCATGGTCACGATGTAGTGCTTTGGAGGCCCACTACACCTCGACTGTCAGTCATAGGAGATAAAAACAACCAAGAGGAACACTGGAGAAGAGACTTGGCTTGACGACCGAGGGTTGAAACTGACCGTTTTCTCTGTTCAGGCCACTGACATGACACATTATTGATACCGCATTGTGCACATTTTGGCCTACAGCAGTGAGCTTTCCAATTATTACAAACATCAGCCAGACTAAAGTAAACGTACCTCTCTCCACTACACTGTTAATTATGCAAGGAATCAGTCAACTCTGCTGGTTGTAGATAATGGATAACTCTTGACAACCCACCTTGTGTTTTCGCGCTCTGCAGGCCAAGCAGGCCCCACGACTCCGAGTTATTTTCTTGGTTCCTTGGCCTGCCATGAATATTAACGGACAGTTTTTGCTTTCTGCCGAGATCGGGTTCAGTTGGCCGTGGAGAGACGCTGGTGAAAGGCTTAAGAGACGGAGGAGATGGCCAGGCGCGCGTAATATTTGAGCCGCGGACAAAGGAAGCTCCGCGGAGAATTCGAATTTGGGGAGAAATATATGGGGTACCCATCGATTGCCCCGCGCTGATCTCTCCTGCGACTGAATACGGTCAACACGGGAATCACGGAGCATCGGACATTATTGCAAATTCTGTCTTTTTTCCTTTTTACGTTGTAAGATCGTATGGCCCATGGACGCGCCTCATAAGTCCATAGCTATGTTGCTCCTACGAGGACTGCTCGTAGGCCTCGGCCTGTTCAGGAACGACCGTCAAGAGCCTCTCCTTCAAGACGCCACGGCGCGCGTTTTCCATGGCCAGTGACTCCATCTGGCCGAGTGTCTCGACAGTGTGAGTTCCCAGGTGAGGCACGAGCAATGCTCTTTCGTTCTTGACTAGCCGCTCGTCAACCAGCGGCTCCTTTTCGTAGACATCCAGCCCAACCGCTGCGATGTGGCCATCATCTAGGGCGGCGGCCATAGCTGCCTCGTTAATGATAGCACCACGGGCGGTATTGATCAAGACCACTCCCGGCTTCATCTTGGCGATCTCTTCGGCTCCGATCAAGTGCGTAGTACCGGCTGACAGCGGGACGTGGACAGAGATAATGTCGCTGGTGCTGAGAAGTTCATCGAAGGAAACATATTGACAGCCTGCAGCGAGATCATCGGAAAGCGGCTTCCGGTTGTGATATATTGTCTTGAGCCCAAAAGGTTCGGCATGGTGCTTGACTGCACGACCAATGCGGCCCATGCCGAGGATCCCTAGAGTTTT